CTGCCGGCGTCGTTGGTCTTGCCGTGAGATGACGGGCCGAGCGCCCCCGGGTATGACGGTCTCCGTGCGCGGAGCGGGTCTCCGTTAACCCTGCAAGGCAACGCCGCTCCCCAGTTGGCTCGCAGCAAGGTAAGCCGGTGCTTGAATTTGTAAAAAAAAAAAACTACGTTTTAATTCTCGCGCCCGTTGTGTCTGCAATGTCGTGGCTGCGGAGTGTCATTGTGATCCAGATAAAGAGGTCATGGCAGCGTGGATCATGTGGCTGCCTTTGTTCAGGATGCATCTCGCCTGAGCAGCTCCAAAATCACGTGGTGTGAGTGCGTGAACAGTACCGTATAAGTATGTAGGGGGGGGGGGGTGTAGCGGTTGGCGCTACGAACCCGCGACCCGAGTTCGATTCCCGCTCACGGCCGACACAAGTGACGAATATCTTAACCGGTCCTGGACCTCCCCTAGGTCGGTTCAGCCTCAATTGAGTACCTAGTGCGGCGTGTAAACATCGCCACTGGGGAAACAAAGGCGGTCGGGCGTGGTGCTGCCCACCCACCCCCTCGTGTTCCGTTCCAGCCTTCATAGGTGCTCGCTGACAGCACTTGCCCCCACAGTCTGTTAAGGCTATACGGGGGATCTTTGTCTATATACACATGTGGGGGAGTGGTAGCTTCGTGGTAAGTGCACTGCGCTACGAGCCCGGCGACACAAGCTCGATTCCTGCTCATGACCAACATCAGTGAAGATTATGTTAACCAGTCCTGGGCCTCCCCTAGGCCAACTCGGCCTCAAATGAGTACTTAGTATGGTGCGTAAACATCACCACGAGGGAGACGTGGCAGCCCGGATGTTGTTGGTCACCCACCTTCCTCGTGCGCCGTGCCGACCTTCATAGGTGCTCGCTGTCAGCACTTGCCACAAGAGTTTCCATTACATTGTATGAATGTAATGGAAATTTGATACCAGGTGTATTTGTGGATTTTGCAGCAGGAAAAGGGATAATATTTTCCAACCAAATAAAATACTCTTGATTTGTCTGCTCAGTTTACTTTACGACTAACGTAGTTGGCCACGATTTGCTTTACTATTTGCTTGTAATTTTCCGACTTGATTTTTAATCATAAACCAGCCAGTGGCCGGAAATTCCAGATATTGGGCGTAATATATTTTGACAGGTATGCAGGACATTGGCACACGCTTTCTGTGTGATATCACAAAGCATAGGAACCGTAAAACTTTAAAACGAGAAATTCTGAAGTAATTTCTTTCAAATCCCAAGGTGTTCATGGAGAAAATGTGGCACCTGCGTTGGCAGTCTCAAGTCAGCTTTTTTGGAAGCCCCAGGGATGTTTTTTTATTGAAATCAGATTTTGTGCTTTCATATGCAAATGCCCCCTGTGTACATTCCAAGAGTGATGTTTAACCGTACTGTACTTGTCCAATGCCTTTTATGTGCCACACGGATGATTGTCAATATGAAGTTTAGTGGGGAAATAAGTGTTTATTATTGTCAGCCAAAATGTGGAATGTTGGTCTTCACCCCTCACGATGTTGGCATGTGCTTTATGCCAACATTGTGAAACACCCAAAGCAGAATATCCCTGGTTTTGATCTTCCACGAAGCTCATGGTCTACCCTAAACAGCATCTGCACAAACCATGGTAGATGCGGATATCTCATGCGCAAATGGAAAATTTAAAAACTCTCCTGAGGCCAAGTCTGGTCATCCAGAACAGCCCGTAAAACATCTAATGACGCAATGCCTGATCCACAAATACAAAGGAGACTTTACAGCGATACAACTCCGCTGCGCCTGACGCGGTTATCTGGCCTGACCACCTGAATGTGAAATTGTGCTTGTTGCTGTGCATCTACATCAGCCACACGAAAGAAGAAGACGTTTTTAGTAAACAATTATGTTGGCATGGAGGGAGAATGGAATTAAGTTTTTCTTGTGTTTGTGTCTGCACTGCCAATATATGCAGCGTGCACCTATATTTTGGATTGAACATCAGCCAACGAGAATCCACTGCTGGGTGAAGGCCTCCGCTTCGCCGTCTGACCTGATTGAGATTGTTTTTCATTTCTTTATCGCCATGCCGGATGTCCTCTTGGGTGTGCCCTCCCTTGGCTTCCACTCTGTTGTTTTTCTCACCCACCAACCATCATCCCTTCCAACAATGTGTTGTGCCCATGGCCGGTTACAATTTTGTAAGTCAATTAAACGTCTTTAACTTTGGTGTGTATGTACTTTGAACTTCTTTCGCACCGTACGGAGCCAACCCTGCTAATCAGAGGTGTGGGGGAAGGACAACAATCTAAACAAAAAAGCAGTCCTAAAGAAATTAGTTTTCAATCTAGATTTGAAAGTGCATAGCTCCAGTGGCTTCCAAATATCGGAAGGAAGAGCGTTCCAGACGGCCACAGATGCGCCTCAGTGTGATCCCAAGCGTGCATTTCGGGAAGCTTCATTGCACACTTTTAGGGTTTTACCACACTTCCCTGATGTATAGAGTATATACAGAGGGCTGTTTTAATGCTTGTGTAGTGGGTCCAACTGAGTCGCAGACGTTCCTCTTAGAGGCAACACATTTATTTGTAACACATGACACAAAGGGATAACTGCCGCTTTACCAGATACAGCCTAGGGTGGTGACCACCCAGTTAACTACACTATACAGAGGAGTTCCAGCTACGGAGGGTCGGACCCTCTCACTCGGGTCCGCGACCACGTGTTTGCCTCGTAGGACGTAGAGCTTCCAGCTTGAGACGTGGAGCTTCCAGCTTGTAGATGTTGAGCTTCCAGCTTTAGACGTAGAGCTTCCAGCTTGTAGACGTGGAGCTTCCAGCTTGACGTAGAGCTTCCAGCTTGTAGATGTTGAGCTTCCAGCTTGAGACGTAGAGCTTCCAGCTTGAGACGTAGAGCTTCCAGCTTGTAGATGTTGAGCTTCCAGCTTGTAGATGTTGAGCTTCCAGCTTGTAGATGTTGAGCTTCCAGCTTGAGACGTAGAGCTTCCAGCTTGAGACATAGAGCTTCCAGCTTGTAGATGTTGAGCTTCCAGCTTGTAGATGTTGAGCTTCCAGCTTGTAGATGTTGAGCTTCCAGCTTGAGACGTAGAGCTTCCAGCTTGAGACGTAGAGCTTCCAGCTTGAGACGTAGAGCTTCCAGCTTGTAGACGTAGAGCTTCCAGCTTGTAGATGTTGAGCTTCCAGCTTTAGACGTAGAGCTTCCAGCTTGAGATGTAGAGCTTCCAGCTTGAGACGTAGAGCTTCCAGCTTGAGACGTAGAGCTTCCAGCTTGAGACGTAGAGCTTCCAGCTTGTAGACGTGGAGCTTCCAGCTTGTAGATGTTGAGCTTCCAGCTTGTAGTTGTTGAGTTTCCAGCTTGAGACGTAGAGCTTCCAGCTTGAGACGTAGAGCTTCCAGCTTGTAGATGTTGAGCTTCCAGCTTGTAGATGTTGAGCTTCCAGCTTGTAGATGTTGAGTTTCCAGCTTGAGACGTAGAGCTTCCAGCTTGAGACGTAGAGCTTCCAGCTTGTAGAATGCAGCGACCCCGGTCCCTCTCAGGGACCTGCCTTATATCCCCCCATGGGTCGGGGCTGCTCTGCCCTTGGCCCCGCCCCCTTCCCTTCTGGAGCCTTCCAGCTCCCTCTAGATTCCTCTCGAGAGCTTGAGGTGGCAGGGTGACTGGGAGGTCAGCATTGAGCTCACACCGCTGAAAATCTGGGTTTGAATCTGGGTGTCTGCCTTGGATTTCACAGGAATCTCAAGTGTAGCGAGTTGATGATCTCGGCCCGGTTCATAATGAGAAATGAACAATGTTGGTTTGACCATCTCGTAGCAGAAGCATCCCATAGCAGCATGCGTGGGAAAGTGCTCTATAACTGAGTAAATAAAAAAAATATCCAGTCATTCCCTGGCACGATGGTGCACGCTCCTGTGTGGGAAACACGAAGGGGTTCTTCTCATCGTGAGATGCATTTGAACGTGCTGGAATGGTGCGTGTGATACAAGTGAGCACTTCGTACAAGGCGAGGCGACGTTGGAGACAGTCGAGGAGGTTTGCAGGCACGCCGGTCGCCGGCGTGTGACCACAGCGGGGTGGGTGTTTGTGCAGCGGTTGGGGCACTGCGCTACAAACCTCGTGACCCGAGGCCATGAACGGAAATGGAACAACATTGGTGACGAATATTTGAACTCGTCATGGGCCTGCCTTAGGTCGACTCAGCCTCATATGAGTACCAGGTGCAGTGTTTAAGCATAAGCACTCGGGGAGACAAAGGTGGCCGGGTGTGGTTTTGGCCACCCACCCTCATGTGTGCCCTCCCACGCTTCATTAAGTGTCCCTGAACAGTGGTTGCCCCAACAGTCTGTTGTATACTCTTTGGTTCTATTCGGTAAAGTCACATAACCGAGAGGATGGTTTCAAATTAAGCAACCATTGGAAAGATGTTCTGAACCAAACCAAACATTAAACTAATTTTCAATGGTACAGTATATTTTTTCAAGTAGTGGTATCCTAAACTTTCGCAGCTGCTTAAATTCCCTTTTCACACCATCAATATGTAAACTCCCCCCTCCCCCCCTCGCCGGTCTGCACATGCTCCCCCCTGTACATTGTTCATCATGCTAAGTCCGCCAATTAAATGCTATTTTTTATGCTAATTACTTTGTCAAGGCGCTCTGATTTCTCTCACACAGCTTAAAGGTCGCGGTCTGAGCTTGGCTGTGTTCACTCCAGCGCTGTCCTCTAGACAGTCTGGTCCCTTCACCTGATGAAGGCCACTTGTGTTGTGGCCGAAACGGTCGTGAATTTTTTGTTGTTGTTGTTTTTTACGTGACTTTACCGAATAGAACCAAAGAGTATGAATCCTTGCAGTCACGAAAGCTTTAAATCTAGTCTGTTGTATGTATGTATGTTGAACTTTCGCACTGCACATAGCCAACCGTGCTCATCGGAGTTAAAGGCTATATGGATGATCTTCGTGTGCACCTCTCGCTCTGTACAGATACCAGTACTACCTGCAGCTGAAGAAGGCGGTGGTGGAGGGACAGCTGCTGTGCACCTTTGAGCAGGGCGTCCGTCTGGCAGCTCTCTCCGTTCAGGGTGAATATCCTCACGATTGCCATGTAGCAATGAATCCCTTGCGATTTGCTATAATTACTAAACTATCAACAATTATTTTTATTTTACCAGGTAAGGCCCACTGAGCTATGCAGCTCTTTTTCACAAGCGGCCCAAATAATAGCTCAACGAAGTGGCTTATTGTTTGGAAATTTACAGCAGCCAAATACTCGAAACGCACGATGTCGATTCTAAATGCGGAGGGAAAAACCGGAGGACCCGGAGAAAAATCCACGCGACCACAGGGAGAACATGCAGACTCCAAATATACAGGCGTCAGGATTGGGATCGAACCCACTACCTCCTGTATACCTGGCGAGGTAGTTAACATCTCGGCACTGAGGTGCCCATATAAGGAGAAGACAAACATAATTTGGTCACGGTTTGGGGTCACGGTTAGTTTTAAGCTTTGGGGGTTTAACTTTTTGGTCCCATATGTACACTCTTACACTGCGCATCGCATTTACAATGTCTCGTTTGTACTGTCCGCCTTGGTCTGCGTTGCTGGTGTGGTTTGTAACCTCGCGTTTTCATTGCCTCATTCTGCCGTGTTCGTTCTGTGAGCCTACATGTAACGTAATTGATTGCTAATACACGTGATTTAATCCATGTGTCGTGAGGGCAATAATTGATTATCACGGGATGTGCGTGCCGTTAAATCATTACGTGCCAGCTGACTTGTCATCCGCCCATGCGGAGGAGCGCACCCTCCCTCGGGAATGTTTGTAAATGCAGTGCGTCTGAAGGTAGTGAGTGGAGTTTTCTGCAGTGATCTGCAAAGTTAGTGACTTTTTGTTTTTAGAGTGGACTTTTATTATTGGGTGTATAGGGATCCCAGGCTTCTGCAATTTTATCAATATGAATTTTAATGTGTATTATTTGTAGGGCTGGTTTGCTCCATGAACCTACATTTTATTTTTAGCGTGCACAGTGGAACACTTCTTGTCCATCCTGCTATAGGAGAGTGGCTATTGACGGTTGCTATAATTTGCTCCTAACCGTGAAAATGACTCCTGATATTTTGCGCAGTTTTTTTTGCGGTTAAATGCCACAAAATACGACGACGTTGCCATCGTCACTTGTCTGACGTGCCCAAAACGCAACGTTAAAATAGAAATGATACATCTACCAATGATAGTAGGTAGTATGTTTGGCGCATCCGGTTGGGCCTTAGATATTGGAAGTTGCAGGTGAATAGGGCTGGGGGAGGAGGAGGCTGTCACATGGCTCTGTGGCTATGTGGGATGAAGTCCACTCACAATATAACATTGACAAATATGTATTTTTTTTTCAATGTCTTGTGCATCTGGTGCTCTAGCTGTGTAAAAGTCACGTGTAAAAGCAACCGCTAAACAAATAGGGCCTCGGATAAGAATTTCCAGCGTGATTAAAAAAACATTCTAAATTGTCAATGTTTACACTCATGGTGCTTGTATCTTGAACATGAGAATCAATTTTAATGGATTAAGAATTGGGTGCCTACTGGGTGGTCTGCTTTGTCCAGTGTCTGGATTAGGCCTGCTTTCTGTTTATTGGGCAAGCGGTTGGCTTATTCTTTTAGGCCAAATGCTGCAGATTATATTGGACAGCAGCCACGCGCAACAAACTGTGGATAGCTCTGCACGTGTCCCGTTTGCAGCGTTCATACCCATTGATATTGTAATTCACCTCGCTTATCAAATCGGAATATTGAAATGTAAATTGTGCTATATAATGTGCAATTAATGTATGCACAATTTTACGTGACTATATATGCTAACGTGCGCTTGTTCTTAACAGTTAGTGGAAATGATTGCTGTTTTGGGATGTGCATTTGTTTTACGCGGTGATCTCTGAAGTGCAAAACTTGTTTCGTTTCCCGCCTGCAGCAAATTTCGGAGACCACGATCAGCGTGAATCGCAGGACTTTCTCCGAGACTACGTGCTCTTTCCCCTGGTAAGCCAAACGAAAAGTTAATTCGCTATTTTACTGTGGGCCGTGAATTTCTGGGTGTGCGATAAACATAGCTTATCTTTTCTCATTAAGTTATTTTTCAACCAAGTCTTGGAAAAAAAAAATCATTGTCGCAAGCCACCCATTGCCATTGTGGGCCGGTCCCACGGAAGTGCATTTATGTTTGTGGCACAGGAATTTTGTGTGTCATGAAAGAGTGGAGTTGTTTTTAATGATTATTGTTATAATATTTTTTTCTATCAGGGCTGTTTACAGAAAAAGCATCCGCTTGAATGTGCCAGTTTATTTAGTGAGCCTGCCAAAGGTGCCAAATCTACAAGAGTAGATGGACAACATTTTTCAAGCCTCAGGGAACAGTGGTGGGTGTTTGTTTGGCCTCGTGCTCTTCGAGTTGATCTACAATCTAGCCCAAAGCCACGTTGGTCAGGGCGGATTGGTAAAGGTAGAGAGCAGAGGTAACGTAGGTTTCGAAGTGCAGTACAACAATAGATTGTGTCCGCACTGCACTCTGCCACTCACCACGTAGCCACATAGCCTAACACAAACCTGTTTGTGCTTAGTGTTCACCCATCGAGGCGCACGCTATCCAGACTCAACGCTGCTGAGCTGTCTGTTGAGATTCTGTTAGTTCAAGCTTTGCTATGTTATAACCCATTTGTCTTTTATACCGTGATGGTCTCTCCTCCATGCGGTGGGTTTGTCACAACCCGACCTGGCTTAAAGGAGGTGACAATTTTCAGCTTAAAGGTGATGCGACTGCATGTATGCTCGTCACTTAGTACGGGACAGTCGGCGAGACTGATGGACATCTCTTTCTTAGGCCTGGTCTCAGGATGATCGAATAGTGGAGGAACTCACGCAAAAGGTAGCTGCCTTTCACCAAAAGCACAGGTACCACTTTTTGATATATATTCATTTTTGTTTATTATTGTGTGTTTTGTGTGTAATGTGGTGGCATGGTAAGTTAGTGCGTAGCAATAATATCTCCATAATGTGAGTTAAACTCCTGGTCCTTCTCACCTGGCGCGATTGCTGCTATCTGAGCCCAGCGTTAGAAATCAGAATCTTTATCCTGGAGAAATCCAATGAGCTATGAAGCTCTTGTTCACAGGTGTGTTTAGTAGGGGTGGGTCAGAAAGTTACAACAACAAACAATAAAACAACGAATGGAGTGCAATGTATACGGAAGGTAAGCAAAACACGAAAACCAAATAAATATAGATAAAATATATACAAGTGCCAATCACCGTTTTGATCTTGGTCTGGGTTTCCTGGAAGCGTACCGAGCATAGAATAGTTACCTGCTGTGTGACGTGAACAATGGCGTTTTGAACCCAGTCGAGGCCTCCCCCGATGTTGACCGAGTATAAAATGAACACTTGCTGTATAACACCCGCACTGAGAAACTAAGGACGGCTGGGCATGGTGTGGCTACACTGCCATGCCCCCTGTGCTCTGCTTACCTAAAGAAATCGGTGCTAGCAAACAGCCCTTTTTAACCAGTCCTCAAAGCAATTTACACATTGCTGAGTTTATTATTAAAGGTTTTTTTTTTATGTGTCTCGCTTGTTTGCTCATGTACATGATAGTTCTCTGGAACTTTCATGATCACATGTATATTGATTTCCTAATCACGCGTTTGCTTTCTCCTTACATCATTTAGCAGTGCGGGTAGGATTAACTACATTTGCACATTTTTGTTTAAATTAAAGAGCCTGTTTAGACATCCATTTACAGTCCTAAGTTTATTTTTGCCTGGATCGACAACGTATATATATAAAAAAAAACGCAACACATTTGTCAATTGCACTGCTTTAAGGAGAAACAGTTTATAATAGGCCATGCGTTTGAGTGCATTGTTGTTTCGCTAAATAATCTGTAAAGCAATAAAATGACGATGCCTGGCGGTGCCTCCCAAGGAAGGCACTCGAAGTCGCACAAAGCTTTGCGCATACGTGCAGGAGAGAGTGATATAAAAGCATTTTGATGAACCACCGTGCTTAAACACAGGCACCCAGTCGAGCACATGAAAATGTGAAGACTTCCAAGTCAACAAGGTGCCTTTGACTGATTATAACCCTTATCGAGAACAGCCATTCTTGTGGCTCTCCGTTATCAGGTTCGCAAGTGGCAGTAAAATTGTCGGAATTTGTGGAATTTATTTTTACAATTGAAGAGCGTTTTTCTCTTTTCTCTGCCCCAAAATACACATTGAAGAATGAGGTGCTTCCTTTTTACAAGGTGAACCCTTAGTCTTCCGTGTTTCGATATAACTTTAGTAGAATTTATCTCCGTTTAGCTCTGTTCCTTATTCAGAAATGTTAGCTACCCCTTCTTTGGTTTTTTCGGTAAGGTCACGTAGAACGAGAATAAAATAATAAAATAACACAATAAAATTCTCACGACGTTTTGGCCACAACGCAAAGCGGCCGTCTTCAGGTGAAAGGTACAGACCTGTCGGGACGACAGAGCTTCAATGATGTTCATAGACAAATCGAAGTTTAGCTACCCCTGTTGACTCTTAATGCGTTTTATAGATTTGACGCTTGAAAGAACAATTGTGCAAGAAATCCTTACAAATATGATGCTTCGTTTCCGCTGGCTACGTTCACCAGCATCTTCGGTGCCTGTGCTGACTTGCCAACAACACTTGTGTACGATGTTCATAGACAAATTAAATGGTGATACTGTATTGGCCCAAATAACGAAAACCCGACACCTTCATCAACAACACTGCCTTAACAGTGAAATAAATGTAATGGACGATGAGCTTTTGGGGAATGGGGGGCTTTCTTTGTAGCACATAAATTATCTGGGTGCTGTTCTCCCCCCCCCCCTTTTTAAGTCCGTGATATTGACAAATGTGTTTAGTCTTTGTTGCGTTTTGGCAAACCGCATACAAAAATCTATTTGTGATAAATAAAGAAGAGTTTGTTGGTTTTTAGTAGCCACGCACGCATCAGTGTCTCCTCATTTTCTAGTTTTCGTCAAAATAATTAGTGATTGGTTTCTTTTGGGTTAGGTCGTTGTGTAAATAAGATGCGCGTTGTAAAACCCCCTGCACCCGACACAGGCAATTAAATCAAAGTGTCTCGTGGATGAAACGTGGCCAAATTTGTCACTGCTCCAGCTGCGCCACCGGTGTTTGTTGGAGAATAACCTCACGGCATTTTTAATGGACGTTTTCCTGGAGATTGCATCCAGCATCATCAGTTTGTTAACAGGAGCTCAGATCGTGAGTGAAAGCGCTTCCCGATCCCTGGCCCTTAAGTTGATGCCATGGTGCCATCGCCACCATCGGCACGTTCATGTATGTGATATAATTGAATAATTTCATCATGTGTAAACCAATTTTTAATTATAATTGTGTTCTAGCTCACAGGAAGACAAGAGGACAACCATGCAGTTCTACAGGAACTGCTAATAGTTTTTTGCATTATGCACAAAGTTTTATGGTTTTTCCGGTCTGCACGATGATCCTGTCATGATGGGTTTTCTCGTTACTTACAGATTCGATTATCGGTCTTGCAGAGCCACAGATTGCATATGCGCTTTTTGCTAGGACAACTGAGCAATGGGTAGCTCACTATGCTATGAACCCAGCAACCTGAATTTAATTCCTGGCCACAGTTGACATCAGCAGTGACGCGAAATCTGTGCAACTCCTGGGGGCACCCCCCCCCCACCCCTTTCATCAAACCTGCTATGACCAGCGAGGTCAAGTAAGGTGATAAAACAAAGAAAACCCACCCCGAACTTGCCATTGGGAGACATCCAACAGTTGATTGATAAGGGGATGAAAATTATTGCACAACATTTCTCGTCACGCAGTTGGTTATAAACCTTAACGATTATACGCAGGGCCCACAATTTTCTTGGTGTCGGATAGGGAGCACGTGATGTGTCGTGGCCAATAAATGAACACATCCTAAGCTATAAACACAACTGCAACAAGGATTAAGTGGGACATTGTTCCAGTTATCCCAATAAGTGGATTGGATATTCAAAAGTATCTCCCCCATCCACTCTTAGATCTAGACCAAAAAACAACAGCCAATTCTAATGTATTTAAATAGTATGCAGGCAATGAGATAATACACCGATGTGACCCACCCGAGTACACTGGCTGGAATGTTAGGTCTATAATCGTGTTGGAATCTCTTGGCAGACAAACTCTCACAGAGAACTACAAAATCAGCAACAGTTGCCGTTCACCATTAAATTGTAGTTGACGTCACCAAGGCATCTGTATGAGCATACTCTTTGTTGAACTTTTTTCGCACCGTACATAGGCAACCGTGCTAATCTGTGCCAGGCTAGGTTCTCAACAGACCTACATTTACACATACACAAAGATCCCAGTATAGCCTCCAGAAGCTGCTGGGGCAAGTGCTGTTAGAGAACACCTATTAAGTGCTTACGTTTACACACCGCATCAGGTACTCGTTGAAGACTGAAATCAACTTAGGAGAGGCCCAGAACCAGTTCAGATATTTGCTTGGCGCAATTTAAAGCCGTAGCTGGGAAGCCAACTTAAGTCGTCAGGTTCGTAGGTCAATGCTCTCTAACCACCCACTGCATGACCACCTCCCGCACACAAGCATGGGCACACGTGTACATTCAGGATGTCATATAAGGTTTCAGTAGTGGTTAATAGGGGTTATGTTTGTTGCTGCTCAGAATAAAGTACACACATTTCCACACCACCGGAGGAAAATTACATGGTAATAGCAGCTTAATGTATGCTAGGGAATGTAAATTGCAGAGTTAATGTTGTAGTAAGTGTAAACCATTTTGTTTTCGTGGAACACATCCTGGAGACATTTCTGTGATGTTGTTTTGGCTGTGGTGCACACATAACAAAACCTCAACACTTTTGACAATCACAAAAAGAGACGACCATCCTTCTGCTACGAATAAGGGCTATTGTCCAAACATCGCCTGTTATATATTTATTTCATTTAAGGCAGTGTTTATTGCCAAATGTGTTGCAAAATTACTGAGGAAAGTGTTATAATTATACACAACCACTGCTATACCGCACCTCCGATTAGCACGGTTGGCTACAGTGCAAAAGAAGTTCAACAGACGTAGACTTGCAAGATGTCTAGAATTATAAATGTTTATATCCACCCCTGTATGAGCTTGAGGTTTACTTTCAATTGCTAAGTGTGGTGTTGCTGTGGAAGAATGCCCAACTCAAATCCTCAGCGTTTGGCTCTGCCGATTCTCTACCTGGTTAATAAAATGAGTACCACTAAGTTGCCTCTGTGGTAGTAGTTACATTGGAGAAACCAAACGACATGTCTCGGATCGCATTCGTGAACACAAAGCAGACCTTAAACACGGTAGGACAAACACCTCGGCCGTGGCAGATCACTGTTATAATTCAGTGGGCTCACATGACATTGACTTCTCCAAGACAGAGGTTCTTTGCAAGCCATCGGGCTACCATGAGAGATTCGTTCATGAGGCTATCCACATATACAAACACAGAGACAATTTCAACCGAGAAGATGGATTCTGGCTTAGCAATCATTGGAAGGATTTGATAAACCATTTCAGGTCTTAATTGATTGTTCACGCTTACGGTGGCTTTCAGAAAGCATACATTAGTTTTTCGTCTCCCCCCTCCTCTTTTCCGTACATAGATGGACTCGTCCTTCTAAATAAACTGCCAAATCGCTGCGCGTGGCGCTAACGTTTAAAAATAAATAAATACAAACCGCCACTTCTTTCAAATTCTTCTTGCCGTTGGTTTTCACACCTGATGATGACTGTTTGTGTTACAGTCGAAGTATCGTGAGAATTTTATTGTTTTATATATATTTTATTTATTGTTTCCCTTCAATGTGACTTTACCGAAAGAACCAAGAATATGAATCGCTGCAGTCACGAAAGCTTTAAATAAAAATTTGAGTACCACTTGATGGAAAAACAGCAGTGGGTGTTCTATGAACGGTACGCATGTCACTATGCGCCGATTAATTTATAAAAATAGATTTGATAATCACGATTCTTCCATTTTAGTGCCTAGGGAGAGTCTGTTATTGACGATTCATGCTACTTATATGCAAATTGTATGTATGTATGTTGAACTTGTTTCGCACCGTACGTAGCCAATCGTGCTAGTCGGAGGTGTGAAGGGAAGGACAACAAGCTAAACACAAAGCAAATTTTGATTTAAAGTTTTCGTGACTGCAGGGATTCATATTCTTGGTTCTTTCGGTAAAGTCACGTAGAAGGGAAACAATAAAATATATATTTTTTATTTTTTTTATTATTTTATTGTTTCCTTTCTACGTGACTTTACCGAAAGAACCAAGAATATAAACACAAAGCAGTTAATTAAGAGACGAGTTTTCAGTCTTACAGCTTATACGTGGGACGTTTGCCGTTTTTGTGTCGGAAGGTTGCAATGAGCTGACTATACATGGTGTCCTCCGTTCTGTGTGTGCGTAACTCCAGTGGCGTCCTAATAAAACGATGCACTTGCGTTACATTTGGGTTAATAGCATGAGCAAAACTGTACAAAATGAGGATGGGGATTTTTTTTTTTACAAACATGACCGATGAGACGCAAACAAATTAAGACGAGAAATAACCTCTGCTGGAATCGAATTCGTGGCACCCGAATGGCGGAAATTCATGGGATTTCTGGGCTAGGGGGAAAATGTTGTTACACGCGGAGCGGACAGACTGCGCTCTGCCGCAAGAATGCGGCCCACCGCCTCAGACCACCAGCCGAGATGTTTGAGCAACCCAGCGCGCGTTTAATTACAGGGACGCACTCCGACGCTGTACTCATGCACCGCACTCTTGTTGTGCAACACATCATCTCATGTGATTAATGCACTGATCGCTTCCGAGAATGTAAGCAGCTAGCCAAAGCATTACACAAAAACGTCTGTGTGGTCCGCAAAGGGCTGTTTTATAGTAAAACAAAAAAGTTGTCTGCTGCTTGATTATCCTTCAGAGTTCTGTGATGTCTTGCAGTACTGGTATCATTAGGATCCATTTAAAAAAGAAAGACACGTCTTTCCCCTTGCTTGGCAACATTTAATTTTTCAAACCTCGATTTTGGTGCAGCTGCATTAAGTTCACTGGAATCCAAAAATGCTCTGGGGCCTCTAAAGCAATTTTCGTCTGGCGCTGCTTGGCCTTGTTACGTTTTTCTGCCAATTTAATGGAATGCGACCTTAATTACCACCAGGATCACAATGTAAATAAAAGTTGCGTCCCTTGGTGGTCCACATGCACAAAATATTCACTACGAATCGATAAAATAAATATTTATTGAGCTTTGGACTGCAGATGATTTAGATAGTCCCTAATGCAACATGCTGAACAATTGCATTCCATTAACATGAGGACAATACATTATAGAGGATGATTATGCAGTGAATTGCATTGCTTTGTCTACCCTTACAAAAGTAACAAAATGGTGTAAATAATAAATGCACACGTTTTGTGCCGCGTGTTGTTCGGCTCGGTGTCCGACGTTTCGCTCCAAGCGTCAGGAGCTTCTTCAGGATCTCGGAAATAGTTCCTCAATTCCCGAAGAATCAGAATCGTTATTTATCCTGGAGAAATCCGATGAGCTTATGAAGCTCTCTTTCACAGTCGTCCAGTATGGGGTGGGTGAGCAAGTTCGAACAACAAACAATGGAAACAACGGGAGGGGAGTGCAAAGTATAGGAAAGGTAAGGAAGTCACTTGAAAAATAATTCTTAAATAAATAAAGTGTAGAAGTTACAATTGCATAAGTACGCCAATTCCCAAGCTTGGACAAGGCATCAAAACAACAGCAAAATCGGTCCCAAACCACACCAAGACCACACACAGTCCCTCAATAAAATTGCAGATTAACATTGAAGCTTCTATCACGCAGAGTGAAGCGTCAGACATCACGCCGACCAGCAGGCGGTACAGCGCCAACACACACCGGCAGAGATGTCCAGCACAAACCTCAACTTGAAATCTTGCTTGAGTGGTGCCGTAACATTTCTTTCCGATTTCTCCGTTCCGTTAATCTTTGACCCCGGTAAGCGAATCTCTCACCTTCCTCGCCGCTTTGTGCCTATGTTTGGGGGAAGCCCGCGATCAGAGGGAGGAGAGTTGCAGAAAGAGTAGGAGTGGGTATTGTGGGCCGCGGTGAGTGCAGATAGAGAAAGTAATGGCCATTGTTGTCGGGTTCATTCTACTAAACATTTGTGAAAATAGCTTTATAGCTCATCGGATTCCCCCAGTATAAATAAATATTCTGATTGTGATTTGTAGACGTTTGTCTGCCTTTGGAGGATAGTGGTCGACACACTGCAAGTACATCCATTGTATCTACATGTTGATAAACACGGTGATCCATTTGTAGACACACCAATGATTTGACCCTCTTTGTACTCGGCAGGTGATTTCATCTTGAAAAAGCAATGGCTGCATATTTAAATTTTACGGATGAGAGATTGCGTTAAAATATTTAACGAGCGGATTCGGATCTCTCGGAGATGTGGTAGAAGCTTTGAATTCAAATACAGTTTTGTTCCCTGTTTAGCTATTATTTTAGTGGGGTGTCTGTACAATGCATCACACTGCTATAGTAATCAGGGTTTTTGTTTGTTACTCATGCATTGCTTGTGGCAAATACGAACAAAGTTTTGAAGAAGAATCCTTCACTGAACAAGGTTAAGCCTGCAGTCAAAGCAACCGATCAATTTTATAGTCTCTCCCAAATGAAATTCAGAGGTGGAAAGTATAAAAAAAAATATTCTCAGGGCTTGTGCAATATTTGGCAAGCGTGACTCACGAGGCAGTTGAACATTCAGTTATATTTTACCAGCCTGGTCGACTGTGTGGCATGTTATAGGCAAGCTTGTGGATTTCTTGTCTCCCTTATCGTTGAATAACGCTGCGTGGATTAAACGTTGTATTTCCTGGCGTATTTGCAGGCGTATTTGCATGCGTGTGTGAGGTCGTTAGCGGCGTGAGCGCAAAGTGAAATGAATAAATTTAATATAAAAGGTCCTCTGTACTGGGAAGCCTTGTTGCTCACTGAATAAAAAAAAACTCTCCCACAAAGCATACATATTTTATCAGCTCGATGAGAACGTGGGTGGGTGGTAGGGGGGGTGGCGAATTTTGCACTTGTATATTGGGAGCACATTTTGGAGCACTCGGCCATCGCTGGTCATAGGACGGCTTGTACAACTATTCTGGGACCATTTTAAGATCATCGTTTCTCAGTGGGTGTTCTGAAGGGATTTGCGGGAAGCTTATTCCGGGAGAAACCATTTCTCCAGCAGCTCGTGTGACTGACTTTGTCCGTATCTTCCCCCACCACCCCCCCCCCCAGAGGCATGAGGCCAGCGGAGGCAGAGCTGTTGTACATCCAGGAGGCAGAGAAGCTGGAGGGCTATGGGGAAGAGAGCTTCTCAGCCAAGGTGAGGCCGGATGGACCATGTGTTGACGGTGAAACGCAGCCCGAAAAAAAAACGCCTACGTTTTATTTTGTTCTCAAAAGCGAGCGTCCGTCCATTGAGGTGCCACGGTTTTAACTACATCGCGTAGATATCGAGGTGACAGAGGGCTACGACACCAAGTTACTAATGAAACGTGAAAGATGTGGCCGGTTGGCTCAGGGGCATGAGCCCAGCACTGCTGAGAAATCCGGGATTTGCATATGGGTAGTCACCCATGGGTAAAGCTAGTTCTCCAGCGTTGTAGTGAGTTTATGTTAGTCTCGGCTTGCTAGCCAGTGAATGCACGCAAAAAAATACACCATCGACATTATCTTCCAGCTGTGGGAGAGAGAGGGGAAAAAAACATCCGCTAGACTGGCGCGCGACGATTGTCCCAGGTGTAGGAGTGTATGTGGGAAAATGCTCCCCCTAGTGTGTGTATTAAGTGAAGGTCGCCTGAAGGGATCTCGGAAGCAGTTTTTTTTTTGCGGCATCACTTCCCATGGGTTGCCCTCCAAGGCGCTGTTGTTTTGGACAGTTTTGAGTCTTCGCCTCGTGCCACAATCGCGATGGAAACTGGGGGAAATACAAAACATGAATCACTTTTCTGGAAAAGGAACATTCCCCCATTGTCTTTTGATTCGCATAATCGCCTCCCGAATCGCAGTTCTATTAGGTGATTTGAATTACCCCAGTGCATTGAAACGTATTGGTTTAACACGGGCAGCTCCCACCATGCACTGCATGTCATAACGTGAGCCTGTTGTTACCGGCAATAGCAATCACATTGGTGCGATGCCAAAGGAGCTCACGATGCCATTGGCCCTTGAAAATTACTTTCAAACTTGCTTCTGATAGCCAGCACGGTACACAGTCTAATTACAGTTTTTTTGTAGGTCTTCTCATTTTGACATCCAGTGCCCACGCTGGCTTCTAACCATGCGCGTAGGTGCATCTTTCATCGTGGCTCAAATGCGTGGCAGTTTGTGCATTCTAACCCATGTGCTTTTCTTCTGTAGGCACGGGTATAACTTCATTTCAATGTCCTTTTAAAATGCCTAATATTGTATGCGTGCTGCCCTCTGTCATTTCACTGCTGGATGACAGCCGCTACACCCCACCCGTTGCTCCTCTTTTGCCCACTGTGTGTACCACTGTCGACTTGCATTGTAAAGCACCCTGGAAAGGGCGCTAGATATATCCTACTTAGAATAGAATAGATGAAGGGCCCTGCCCTCGCCGCATTTTGGTCGTGCGTTTTATTTGAACCTACTTCACCACGCTTGTCAATGTCAGTTGGTAAAGGCCGGGAGCATAGACGCGTGGCACATCGTTGCAGTACAACAGTGGATTTAGTTGCACTGCCCCCTGCTGCCCACAGTGCAGAGTGTGGTGGAAAAGTGCCGTGGTAGCCCAGGCCCCACTGGAACAGAACTCGGAGGTAGCTCTGTGGTGTCCGCTTCCACGGGTCATTCTCAAACATGAGAGGTCACATTGCTGTGCGAGAGATCCGGACGGATTCCTCGTCTCGTGACATGATGCAGACGGCACAACGTGATACAGTTTGGGAAAAAGCCTTTTTTTCCCCCCCTCTTAAAAAAAGTAAAAAATAAATACGTTTACAAGGAACGATGATGACAGAATAATAGCAGAGGGGGCTTGGACAGGCATTGCATTTCAGCCATTTCCAATCACGTTGCGACGTGTGTTGTATCTCTCCAGCGACCCATGAGGAGCCAACTGCAGCAGTTGAGTAACACCGCTGGATTTGCCGTTAGAGCTCGTTGTGAATTCGAGCAAATTAGAACGTGCACAATGCATGCCACGTCAGTGCAGCACTGATAATGGCGATGTGTAATGTTGACATGTTCAATTTTAGCGGTAATTTCTGGAGGTTGTTGCCTAGCAATATAAGTGGCCTGCTATGGGAAGTGATGAAAAACACAATTATATTTAGACGTTTGACGGCTTATTTATTTATTCATTTTTTAATGATGATTTTTCTCCCTTCTAATGGCAGTGGGGAACTGTAATCCCACGTATAGCTCCCGTTTATATAACCCAGAGACCTAAACAATGCGAATATAGCGGTGTTCCTAATTTATTTTTAAACATTCATGACCAATTGTGCACATCCTCTCACTTAATACGAGCAATGCTTACTTTTAGCGAGTGCCTTCCTTAATAGGGAACATGAATAATGCATGTGTTCGCTCATATAGCAAGTCTCATCAGTGCAGCACATCAGCCAATTGAAAAGGGAGTCCTTTGAAGCCATTGCTGTTGTCCTACATTGCTTCTCAACAGGGGTAAAACATGTGTCCACTGCTCTAGTACTGACTGAATTCAGTGGCTCAAACAATTGGCATTAAATGACTTGAGCATTCACGTTGATAATAACTGTGTGGACCGGGCAGAGTGGTTAATTAACAGTTTGACTCTAGTCCTTGTGGCGCCTATTACCGGTTCCCACTTGCAGTGTTACCCATTCGGCGTGCGCATGCAAAGCAGGTCTCGACCGCTAAGTGATTGGTTGACCTGTCGACTGCAGTACGCCGATTGGCTGAACAATGGTGCGACGAATATTACATTGAGTGAATGTAGAACCACTGGAAATGAGAATATTAATGACGAGAGCTGGACTATTCGATTATTTACGTGGTCGATCACTCTACCGATTATCGCTTCAGTTCCTCGACTAATCGGATAACATGAAGAGAGTTATGAGAAAAGATCTCGCATCTGTCCCCGCATGTGCCGCTGGACGAGAAGTGATGGGCGGGGCGTGATGGCATCATTGTCATTTTCAGCCGTGTCATGCTGTAGATGGCTTCTCTGGGGCCTCCTGACTTGGGGAGGCAGGATGTTCGAGGGGGTTGCCGTTTTTTAAAGGGGCCAGAGTCATCGACCTAAATAAAGCAGTCCATTACAATTCATAGTCGACGAAGCTCCCACTTAATTGGCGAATTGTTTCAGCTCTATCTATGCCGGCACCGTAAGTGTGATTGTTGTTCGCTGCTCCCCCTTCCGCTCCACGTGCCCTCTCTCCTCCTGCTTCGCCATCTCCCCTCCATCGTGCTCTCTCCCCTTTAGTCTGTTTGACCTCTGGCCACGATGCGCCGGTTTGGGCGTTTGGAGCCGAGGGCGCCGAGTGGTCACGCGGTGCCCCGATGGCAGCGGGGCGCGGCTCTTGCAAGGCCCCGTGGAGGGGTCGGGGGGGTCGTCCTCTGCGCTTGTGGCATTTTCACCTCTGCGCTTGTGGCTGCAGCAGTGCAAATGTCACGTGATTTTTTTTAACTCGCTGGCTCCCTTGCCCTTTGCGGTGTTGTCAGAAATGCTTAAAATGAGGCCGAGTAAAGTTGCCATAATATATATTTTTTCGCGTTCGCTAAGCGGAGGCTCGAGACATCCTTGATTAAGGCTAAGCTTGCGAGAGTTGACAAGCTTCTAGAATTGAGTGGGGCTACGTGAGCTTTTCCAGTGCTGAGCTGCATGTAACCCGCTGGATGCAGTGCAGGCGAGAGCCAAACACACGTACACTGTGCTGTAGAAATCTGTGCTACGGTCGTGTGACAGTAGCGGTAGAGGAGGTGACGGATCGACAGAGAGACAGTGGCTGTACAGTGATCGGTGTGCGGACAGCTGTACGTTGTTTGCTGCCTGCCAGAGCTGAGCGTGCGTGCTTTTTAAGTCGTCAAACAAAACTCCTCGCCAGTGAAAATTAAGTTGTGTTATTTTTTTCTCGTCAACGAATAGCTGTGCAAACCTGACGGCCATATCTTCCTTGCAGGACACATCCGGCAGCGACGTTCTGCTGGGGACATCGTACAACGGAGTGTTTGTCCGCCACCGGAACGAAAAACCTCCTGTCACGTTCAGGTCGGGGCGGCCTCCTGGATTCTCATCTTTAACACTATTATTATTATTATTTGAGTCTCACTGAGTCTCATGCCTCTTTCAGGGAGGGTCCTGCCAAGTGTTCACAGTAGTTGGGGCAGGGGTAGTTTGGTTGGGGACTATGTGTAATCCCGAGTTAATATTTTGCAGGAAATTTATCGGCATTGTTATGGGGTTTTTTTTGCGTTGGGAGGAAACCGGAGAAGCTGGAGGAGACCCACGCAGAACAGGGGGGGGGGGGGGAGAGAACATACAAATGTCACGCAGAAAGTTGCCCGAATTGGGAGTTGGACCCAGGAACTTTCTTGCTGTGAGGCACATGTGTTATCACTGTGCCATCCAAACTTAAACTAAGAGTTGCATATAGTAATAGGGGCTAGACCAAGTTACCCATTTTCTCTGACACATTGCAATTCACTGCAAGCTGCAGAGGTCCGAGTGGAAGTTTCTTTGTCCCATGACAGGATGCTGATAGCACAATTGGAATGTGACCAGGGTAAGATGTAAAAACAAACACCATTTTTAATGGATGTGGTAGCTCATGTCTGTAATCGAGCAACTTAGTGGTGTGGTTACGTATCAAACGGTGAACACACACACACACACAGCAGCTAGAACAACAGAAAGTAGATTTCTGGCCTCTCTGCGAATAATTTGAGTATTTTTCCTGTCTGTGCAAAGATCCGTTCAGCCAGTGGTGAATATATAGCCGTCACTCGTGCACTTTCCATCAACATTTTCCTTTGTGGGTTTTTTTTTCCTGGCCAGTGTTAAGTTAGAATTACACTGTTATTACACTTCACACTGTCGAGCCACTATTTTAAAACGTCTTGCTTTTATATTTCTCGGTAGAAAAACCACGATTAAGCACGCGCAAGACTCAAACTCACGCTTTCCCTGTCGGAAGTGAGTAATGAGGGTGAGAATGCTGGTGTGTGCTGTTCCGTTTGCTCCTGCCAGGGTTGGCCACTCGGTCGAGTGAAGGCTCTATCTTGCCTTTCCTATCGCACAAGAACCATAATAAAACATCCGCAGGGGCGTTTTACAAGCAGCTCCCGTGGGCGATCGCGTGGAAGCTTCTTATAAAGGATTAAATAATCGTAATAGTAAAAATGTCTAATTATTGTTATTATTTCAGTAAAGCCTCGGGGCGCCCGTATTATGAGTCACGGCTCGGCTGAGCATTGGCTGTAGCTCAAGCGAAGACGAACTCAAAGTCACGCTCAACTTTCAGCTGCCCTGTGAGCATGGTCCCAGCCGTGCTTGGGAATTACCGTGAGCTGAGCCTGAGCCGAGCCAGGGCTGAGCCGCTCGAGCATCTTCCGAGAGCAACAGCTGAGCCGGGTCAAGCGTGAGCCGAGCCACGTGAAAGAGGCAAAACCAGAGCCAAGCCGTGACGAAAACACAGCCCGAGCGGTCTGTCTACCTGCTCAGCTGAGTGTCAGGCATGTTTTCTTCTCTGTTGGCGGCCCAGAGCAATTGGTTGAAATTCAACATTGCCATGGCAGTGGTTTAAAGTACGCTCGAGTCAATGATGTTATCATGACTGTTTGATCTCGGTAAAAATAAATGTTAGGCGAATACAGCGTTCGCCGGCGACCAAATCATACAGGATAGGATTGGTGCGTCCGATCTTGGAAAGCTAAGTCGACATGAGTCTGGATAGCGCTTGAATGGGTGACTAGACATTCATAATACAGGTGTTTTGGCCTGCATGGCTACGTGGTGGGGCAGCAGAGGGCAGTGCAGGAAAATCAATTGTTGCACTGTACTTTAATGTCCCTATGGCTAATGCTCCTTCCTTCAACCAAAGCCACACTGACTGGCATGGTGAAGTATGGTCAAATAAACCCCCCCCACGATCCTGCCCGACGTGGTGAGACCCTCATCTTGACAGTTGATCGTGACAAGGGCTGTACATTTACATGGAGCATTGTACGCTTGTTTTAAAGTATATGTTTGGTCACTTTTGTGGTAATTGAATTTACAAGCACACTGCAGATATGTTACACTTTAAAATGTGTTGATATTTGGCAACTTGTTGTTGAAGCATATTTATCTGATAAAGCTCCCAAATCTAATGGCTGATTTTTAAGCTTTGCACTTCCGGTTCTTGTGTCCTTTGCCGTAATTTCATTTCTGTGAAATTGAACATTGATCAAAATGTTAATTCGTCTGCGGTTACCTTTTATTTAATCAGTTGCACATATTGTCGATGGCTTGGCAGCATGATCGCCGTGGTGGCGAGGCGGTAACTACCTCGCCTGGCATACAGGAGGTCGTGGGTTGAATCCCGACCCTGACGCCTGTATATTTGGAGTTTGCATGTTCTCCCCGTGGTCGTGTGGATTTTTCTCAAGATCCTCCGGTTTTTCCCTCCGTAGTAATCAACACGCGTTTAGAGTATTTGGCCGCTATAAATTTCCACGTGATAAGCCACTTCCATGAGCTATCATTTGTGGCCAGGTCGCTTCTGAAAAAAGAGCCATATAGCTCAGTGGGCCTTACCTGGTAAAATAAAACAAAATAGCTTGTAGTCGAAAAAACTACGATCGCGAACGTCGTTGCCGTTGGAAAGTGACCGGGCGGCGTCCGCTGCGTTCTGTTTGTTCGACGCGCAGGTGGAGCAACATCTCGCACGTGTCTCATAGCAAGTCCGCCTTGGTGATCGAGCTCACCGGCCGTGTGGAGAGCCTGCATTACCAGCTGGTGAGAAAACGACGCAGCGCTCACAAAGTTCGAGGATTTTACGCATCGTCTCGCTCGACGAGACCCCGGTTTGCTCAACTCACAAGACGCTGGCACAGAAACGGTGGACACTGTTGGCTTTAATGAGAGAGGGGGTGGCGAGTCCATGCCATGCAGAGGAAAGGGAAAACATAGGAAGGTCTTGCACCTGGCCTTAAAAAAAGGGCAGGGAGTCGATTGCACAGGAGGCTGGGGGTGAAGGGATATACAGACTATGGGGAGAGTAGAGGAGAGTGAGCGACAGGAGGCTGGGGGTAAAGGGATATACAGACTATGGGGAGAGTAGAGGAGAGTGAGCGACTTCCAAAATGTTGGACAGAGAGGAACAATGCACCGTCTATTGGCATTGATAAAAATGTAAACTTGGAGACCTTCGGATTCAGCCCCTGGGTCGATTTGATTCGCCGAACTGATTGCGATTGTTCTGTTGCAAAAAAAACTCCGGTTGATTTGATCGCAAGCCAAACGTGAATCCCTAGCATTTCAACTACGAGTGAGTTCCCAGCCAGAGTAGATGTTTCCAATGCAATTATTACCCCTGCAACACGAACTGAAAGCACCGATTCAAACCGTCACAACACAACCTCTGCTTGTTTCCGGGGCCTGCACGGAAGATTTGAAAAAGAAAACAAAAATGATTCCAAGAACTTAACACGCCAAAAGAATTGCGGTATATTCTCCCAGATTGCAAATACGGTCGTTGTTGTTGTTGTTGTTGGCCGTGGCGATGGCGGTTGCGTTGGTCGCCACGTTAAAAAAAAGAGTCCTCGACAGTTGCGCCCACACGCGAAGTTACCCGCAGCATTCCGGCGGCGGCAGTCACGCACACGTTGTGGAGATGATGGGCTGCCGCGGGAATGTGACCGCACGCTGCGGCGTGCCGTGGACATAACGCACACCGGGAGCCTTGTGGCAGCGCATGCGGGCGCTGTGCTTTGTACCGACTTCGCGTGGCTTGTAGTGGGTTAGATTATTCCGTCGTTTTAGTTTGTGTTGGTGGTCGAGACAGCAGGGGGGGGGTGGGCGCTTCAACCTTTAGTGAGTGGAACAGCACGTGATTAATGCTTACAGCTGCATGCATGCCTCTTCCATTAGCGGCGGAATGGACCGTTTGTGTGTGTGTGTTTTTTTTATAAGAGGTACGTTCTGATACTCCACCTGGTACTCCATCTGCAAGTGTGACCAAGTTAGAAGCATTTAAAGTGATTCGTTCTTTACTTTATTTCATCATGATTACTTCACTTAGTGTTAAGACCCCCCCCCTCCCCCCCCTGGTCAGTTGCTGTTGGAATAGGTTTTGTTTTTAGCATGTTGGAGTGTTTTTGTTTGGTGCTGAAATCTTTGGAAAGATTCCACACGTACAAGGCCGTGGACACTGAAACTCTGCAGTTAAAGTTCACGAACATATTTGCTGTACTGTCACCTAAAGGTCACCTTCACTGCAAGTGGGTGCTTTTTGCCGACTGCAGACTTATCAATGATCCGTCAAGTTGCTGCAGAACCGGCTGATATTCGGGGTGTACATGAAGGTATCATCAAATATGAAATGATAATAATCACTCGCCAGTTTGAACTGCTGCACTGGAATTTTTTGCAATGCATCCTTTCAGGCTTTCCCACCTGATGACGGACGCTTGTGTGGCGTCCGAAACGTCGTGATTTATTTTATTTTATACCTACGTGACTTTACCAAAAGAGCCAAAGAGTATCCTTTCTATAATTACGTATTTTTTTGGTTTAACCAAAATGGCTGAAGTAAATTTCAGCAGCATTCAATAGAAGAATTTTTAAACATTCACAGCCAAGATGGGCTCCCAAATGTTGATAGGATCCGTGTCGCCGATGCCATTGCAAACATGTGGAAGATTATCGAGATGAGACTGGTGTGATAATATATTCATATCGCCAATTGTGTATGTATATACAGTAAAACCTTGGATTGCGAGCATAATTCATTCCGGAAACGTGTTTGTAATCCAAAGCACCCATATATCAAAGCAGTCGTATATCAGTTGTGATCACGTGACGCTCGGCAGACAAAGCGCATACGTGCTACTCGTATTGCAAGACCCTCGCTCGTTTATCAAATTAAAATTTAATTAAATTTTTTGCTCGTCTTGCAAAACACTCGCAGACCAAGTCACTCGCAATCCAAGGTTTTACTGTATATATATGTGTGTGTAAGATGGATAGTGTAGTGGTTAGTGCCCTGCGCTATGAACTCGGCAACCCGAGTTCCATTCCTGCTCATGGCCAACACCAGTGAAGATTATATGTACCGATCCTTGGCCTCCCCTAGGTCAACTCTGCCTTAAATGAGTACCTTGTGCAGTGTGTAAACATCATCACTGGGGAGACAAAGGGAGTTGGGCCATCCATCCCCTTGCGTGCCGTGTCGGCCTTCATATTGTTGAGGCAATGCTGTAGCACTTGCCCCAACAATATGTTAAAGGCTATAATGGGGGATGTTTGTCTTTGCACATATATATAGTGTAATCGAACTAGCTCAGATTGTACTCTGGTTTTACATCCTTTTTTCAATCCACCACTGGATTAAGGCCTCATGTCATGTCAGTCATGTGTTTTTTTTTACCATACTTCACCATGCTGGCCTGTGTTAGGTCGTGGCCAAACTTGTGTGTGGCTGGATTTTTAGTTAAGTGCGATAACTATTAAACTATGAAACTATATTTTTTATTTTACAAGGTAAGGCCCACTGAGCTATATAACTCGGTTTTAGAAACGACATGACCACAAATGATAGCTTAACAAAGTGGCTCATCACGTGGAAATTTATCGCAGTCAAATACTCTAAACGCATGTTGATTCTAAACGTGGAGCGAAAAACCGGAGGAACCAGAGAAAAATCGACGCTACCATGGGGAGGGAGACATGCATACTCCAAATATACAGGCGTTAGTGTTGGGATCGAACCCACGGCCTCCTGTATACCGGGCAAGGTAGTTAACATCTTGCCACCGTGGCGCCAACGCTTCATAATTATGATTTTTTAATAATTGTTGTACATTCATGACCACTCTGCACAAATCTTACGGAGTACCCTGTAACCTGCACGATAAAGTGAGTAGCATCGCCCGTAGCACAGGACGACTGCGGACTGAGCGTCCGTCTCGGGCTCTCTCGCACCAAGACCCTCGGCGCCTTTTGTAAACAAAGCAAGGGGACGCAGCAGACTTGATGCAGGAAAACCTTTTGTGTCTGTTGCAGGAGGACATCGAGACCGCAAAGTATCTGTCGCGGGTAATCGAGGCGCGTCACAAGTTCTACACGCTGAACAAAAACCTCACCATGTAAGTTGTGGCTGCCGATGTTGTGGGAAGCGTAGCGGTGTCGACTATTAGAAGTTACGCGCATTTCCCCCCCCCCCCCCCTGCCTTTTCGGAATCTACTTTGTATTCTGGGTTCTTGAATAAAATAACACAATTTTAATAACAAGTATTCGCATGCACGGCACTTTGTACCTAAATGCCAAAGCATCTGAAAATGCTAATGAGTAAAATGTCAAAAGAAAGGCTAGAGGAGAGAGATTAAAATGAGACGATGGAATAACTAATGAACTACGCGTAGATTCATAGTCAATTAATATTATCGCGCAATATCGATTACTAAGCTCGCGTGCATGCATGCATTAGATTACAAACATAATCATTTTATTAGATTTGTACATGTTGCGTGCAATGGAAAAATGTGGCCCATGCAGCCACTAGTGGCCGCTGCATTGACCACAATATTGAACTCAATATTTGATTCTCAATCGCAGGCTGACATATCCCTGGCTCCACGCCTCCTGAGTTGTCAATCAAACATTGTGTCCGATTGGTGAAATATGCGCAGGTTACGAATTGTTATTGTTTATTATTAATCATTGAATGGCTGAGGGGCAGTGGTGGCCGAATTGTTACACCCCCAGCTTCCAACGAGTAACCTGGCGCATATTTAACCCCCAACTGGAGAGACAGGGTAACCCCCAGAGTATATGTTCGAGTATTTTGAGTGCTTAGAAGATGAGGTGGAAGCTTGTGCAGCATAAATACGTGGCTTGGAATACAGGGTTTGTCAGAGTTAATTTAGTTTGTGGGATTAAGGCCAAAGTCATTTTTCTTTGCAATGTTTGTTAGAAAACAGTTAAACTGCTGGAGTGTTTGAAACATGTTTTTCTCAATATTTGCATAAAACCTATTTCCACCAGCACATAAATTGGACGTAAACGTGTCAGCTAAAAATTGTGTTCATAATAAGTCTTGGAAAATCTCAATCTGATGGCAACATTGCACGCATGGAATTTGTCATTTTTATATTTTCTCCTGATTTTCGTCACTTTTATTGATCTCAAATGCCGCCTACAATAATTAATTAGCAGTTTTCACCGCGTATGTTGTTGTGGTTTTATTTTCTTGTTAAATGTGTTGGAAATATGCATTTTTTTTAAATGATTGACCAGCCATTATAATCCGCAAGCGAAACATCGTTTCATGTGTTGGTGTTGTTGTTGAGTTGTTTTGCTCATGGCAATGAAATTGTGAAACAAAAAAAACTCAAACAGGTAATTTAATGTGAATCAACATTACACGGGGCAGGCATGAAACCACCATCAAAAAAATTTTGGGTCCCACCAAATTATCGGGAATGTACCCTTAAATCAACAGCATACCCAATATAAACAAAGCCTGATTGTGGCATTGACCTGTGCGATGATGAGCAGGGGATACACTGCACCTTGGGTTTATCTCATTCTTCAGAGGAGTATTGACAAACTCTCCCCTTTCGCAGAGTGATAAATACATGTCAGATTCCGACAACTGGCTGGTGTGTGTATACACCGCTGCAGTTAACAATAAAAAAAAACATGCCGCTGGTTTTGCGTGCATGGTTGTGGGATCTTGTGTCACCGCTGCTGATGGGTGTCTGGAAAATGCTCTTGAGATTGGTCCTGTAACTAAGCTAGCCTGCTTTCGGTGATGCGACAAACTGGAGTTTATTGGACAGGCATCTACTACTTGTTTATGGAACCACTGGCCATTCATCATCATCATTATCCATGGACAGATAGTCCGTAGATGTCCACTGCACATTTTGTCATTTGTTTCCACTTTCCTCTGTCTTCTGCCAATATGCTTGAGTAGTGCCATTAGTCTCATCTAAGTGGTAGCAAATTAAGAGCAAAGAGACTGATAGCCTGTATACGTTGAATTTCCCTTGACGCGTTTGAGCTGTGAGAAGACGTAGCTATTCACGGTCAATGTAGCCAATGACAGTCAATGTAGCCAATGACACTCAGCAGTTGACTGAGTGATGCGTAGATCATGGATGAAAAACAGTTTTTGTCTGTGAAATAGTACATTCCAAGCCTAGCCGGAATGAGTCCTGTGACGTACAACTGGAGCAATTCCAACAAATCAAATCAAAATTACTTGTTGACTAGTGTACGTTAATAGGTTGTACCTATCATATGGAGAGGAGCAGTTTCAGAGTGGTCAGCGCACGGCACCAATAAACCCAGCAAGCCGAGTTCTATTCCCAGCCACGGATAAAATCAGTGGCGAGTAATATTTGAACCGGTCCTGACCGCCCACTTTCGCCTACCCTCGCTGACCAGCGTGGTGAAGTATAGTCAAACAGCCCCCTTGATGAAACGGCACGGGGGAGGACGTCGCCCAGCCAATGGCTTGTACAAAGGGCTGTAAACACGACGCTTTACTTGGATGTATTTTTTAATAGCACCTGCCTAGACTTTTTGGCACGAGCAGTTGATGTTCAATTTGTACGGATGCTTGCTTAATTTTTCATGCATGCCAGCTTAAGCATGGTGGATTAGTGTTTTAAAGCATGTGCAGCATGGACACAATTATAAATCTCCTGCCCTTTAACCCCTTCGCTCACAGATCCCCCACATGAACGTAGCCATAATATGAAATAGCAGCAACCAACTCTGGAGTTGTCCCAACAGCTCTCCCATAGACATGGCATGGTTTTACGTGATAATTAAGTTTAATACAAAAATGGGCATGGATTACACTATGTAACACAATTTTTGTTCTTGGGTAGTAAGTGTTATTTTGTAATTGCTTATGCCTAAAAAGTATAGAAAATTGCGATTATTCCCCACAAACTTCGCTTTTGTGACCAGGACAGTGATATTTTAAAATTTACCTATTTTCAGTGAGAAAAAGGGACGAATTTGTTTATTTTCGTTCACAAAAAGATTTAGCAGTGAGTAGTTTTTTTTCTAGATTGTTCCTTCCCGCAAAGAACTCGGTCCGCTGTGGCCAGTCCCGCCTGTGGTAGTGTGCCTTGGTTGTCTAAATCTTTTGAAGTCATTTTTACATTACTTTAGTATAAATACATGTTAATTTTGATTCATATGTTGTTTTTTTCTAACTTTATGTGAACAACAAGACACAAATTTGCCCGTTTTCGCATTGAAAATAGGTAAATTTCAAAATACCACTGTCTTGGTCGCTAAAGCAAAGTTTCTGGGGAATAATAGACACTTTCTATACTTTTGAGGCATAAGCAATTAGGAAATAACACTTACCACCCAGGAACATAAATAAATAAATTGTTACACAATGTTAATAATTCCCCCCAGACTCCTCACCATATGAACCAGCGACTAGTACAATTCCCTTCCTTCAGCTTCATAATTTTTATCTAATTATAAAGATCTTCATTATCTTCTGGGGCACCACGGTGGCGAGATGTTAACTCTTTCGCCTGATATGCAGGAGTTCGTGGGTTCGATCCCAACCCTCACGTCTGTATATTTAGAGTTTGCGTGTCTCTCTCCCTGTGGTTGTGTGGAGTTTTCTCCGGGCCCTTCTGGCTTTTCCCTCCCACATTTATAAACATGCGTTGAGTATTTGGCTGCTATACATTTCCACATGATAAGCCGCTTCGTTGGGTTAGCATTTGTGGCCAGGGGGCTTTTAAAAAAAGAGCTATTAAGCTCAGTGGGTCTTACCTGGTTAAAATAGTTTATTTTAAAATTAAAAATAGTTTAGTTTTAGTTTATTATCGTGCATATGTTTTGTTTCAGATGTCAACGGTAACTTGGAGACACATTTCAGCGAACCAAGGCTTTGAATTGATTTTCAAGTAATTGCTCAAAAGAATTTGACAAATGAAGTAACTTGGATGGCCGTGCGAGGTTAATTCCTCTTGTCAGATTCTACGCCAACACTTGGGAGATATTGGGCTCCAGCCAGTAGGCTGAGAAGAGAAAACAACATTTTCAGTTTCGAAATGGTTTTCACATGGCAGAGAATTCAGAATCAGAATCTTTTTTTCATACTGGAGGAATCCAATGAGCCATAAAGCTCTTGTTCAGTAGACTTAGCCGCCCCACGATAACGTGTCACTGCATGAAACACATCTGGCATGCAACGTTTTTCCTGATGATCTTAGCGCAAACTTTACTTTGATTAATCGAGTGGTCTGTTATTTCACTCACTCCTAAGAATCTTGCATATAGGTGACCGGCTGACTCAGAGCTCAGACCGCTGACCTGGCCACCGATTTAGATTCTGGGTTCCAATCCAGGTAGCAGTCTGGGAGTTAAACCAGATTCTCAAGTTTCGATTTAAAGCTTTCGTGACTGCAATGATTCATCTTCTTTGGTTCTTTCGGTAAAGTCACGTAGAATGAGAATAAAATAATAAATTGATAAAATAAAATAACACAATAATATTCTCACGACGTTTCGGCCACAACACAAGCGCTGTCCTACCAGACAGTCTCGTCCCTTCACCTGATGAAGGCCGCTTGTGTTGTGGCCGAAACGTCGTGAGAATATTATTGTGTTATTTTATTTTATCAATTTATTATTTTATTCTCATTCTACGTGACTTTACCGAAAGAACCAAAGAAGACAGATTCTCAAGTGTAGCGAGTTCATGGTCTCAGTCCGGTCTCCAAATTACTGCACAAAAAAACTGTTACAGTAAAACCTTGGATTGCGAGTAACTTGGTCTGCGAGTGTTTTGCAAGACGAGCACACATTTTAAGTAAATATTCATTTGATAAACGAGCGAGGTCTTGCAATGCAAGTAGTATGTATACGCTTTGTCTGCCGAGCGTTCACGTGATCACAACGGACATAACGAGTGCTTTGATATACGGGTGCTTTGGATTACAAACACGTTTCCGGAACGAATTATGCTCGCAATCCAAGGTTTTACTGTACTTTGATTGTTATTCTGCACCTAATTTTGTATAGATTCCATCTCTGAGAATTAAACGTATTGGTTTGACACTGTGTGGGTGGGAGAGTGCTGCACTCTGCTGAGTGGACCGGGGGTCATGTGAAGGGATTTCAAAGGTAGAGTTAGTTGATAAACATTTCTCTTGGAGAGATTGAAATGGATGCTTCATCTCATGGGAATGCCGTGGATAGCACAAGAGGAATACAATATGAGAAATAGGCCAAATTTTTTTTTCCTAAACGTGTCATTTTAGATTTGGGCAGCTTTTGGCAACTTCTGGCCCTTAAAAATGTTAGCGTGATGGTCTTTCTAAGTATTGTGTATTTACGAATGCATATGTTTTAAGCAGGTGGCCCAGGCACCGTGCTCACGAGCATTGTGAGGTCATGTGTTCTTAACTTTCGTCCTTCATGGAACTTTAATGTGAAAAATATTGATTAATCCATTAGTGCAATTGAAATGTGGTTTGGAAGATGCAACATTGGGGCAGACAAAGCACAAAAGTAGGTGACTGCCGTGGGTAAATAGCGCCCTCTATGAAAAAGTGTGGATAGAGTCAAAAAGTAAAATGTTATTGGCAAGGACTTACGCGTCCACTATCTCACACACGTTTGTAGGAACGTCGGTGTGTGTGTGTGTGTGCGTGCGTGCTTGTGAAAGAAATTTCCTTCTTTCCATACAGTGCCGTTTCCTTTTCAGTGCCTTGAAATGACCACGTGCTTTGTTTGGCACTCCTGTCGTATTTCCTGCATTTTACCCGCTACCTGGCTAGCTGTAGGCGACGACTGCTTTGCTCATAGTGCACATTCTTACAAAATGTTCTTGTTCAAACACCGTTGTTGAATATTTTTTTCTGGTTTAAGCCACGGGCCAGCCAAGTGTTAAAATGCCAGCGGAGTCTTTAATCTTTCTTTTAAGTGTATTGAGCAGGAACCATGAAAATAAATGGGGGGGGGGAACAAAAACGGGAGCGCATAACTGAGAAGCAGTGAATCTATCAGCTCAGTCTTGTGAACGAGGACTTGTTTTAGCGGCGTTTAATTGGGTGTACAAGAGAACTGTCACATTAAAACGTGAGCGCGTTTAAAGTCAACATCATCCTGAGCTTGCGGGCTGCCGCCGTGGGACCGAGGATCGGAATGTGCCAAGTCAGAAAGGGTGGTTCTCTTCTCAGCGGTGAAGGGTTCCGTCACTGCGAACTCGACACAAGTGGGCAGCACTCATCCTAATTGGATCGGCAGAGCTTTGAATCGGCGGACGACTTTTGACGCCAAATGAATGTCGCCAGTTCGTGTGTTGGCCCGCGTGCTAATGCGGTGGTGTTTTTACCAATAATTGTACATATGGGAAAAAAAAAATAAAGCTAAATGTGTACACGTTAAGTAATAATATGATCACCATCATATGAATTTTCCTAAATGGGTCACCCATCCATTGTAAGGCGAATTGTACAAGTGAACTAAAAGACCGCTGTGACATTCGTTCAATAAAAAAGCCAGCAGTGATTAAGGAGACACAAAAGTGAACGCGTCATTAGGAAATGTGGTTGCGTATAATGTGCATACCATTAGCATGTTGTTGCGCGTGTGTGGGCAGGCATGTTGTGACGGATATATATTTTGTGCTTTCAACTCAAAAGGAATCTGAAACCCATGCAAATGGATCATCGGGTACCATGTCCACACCTAAGGAGCAGTGTCCTATGTGCATGAGTAGCTGATAAGCTCCCTATGTGAGCACCGCACATGCAGCTATGGCTTAGTCAGCATTATGCCCGAGCATATTTGTCTTCTTAATGCTGATTGTTGACACTGGCACCGGGCACTAATTTAAGGCTTAAGTTGAAGCCGTCATCAGAGGGATCGGGACAGGTTCCGATACCACTTTTCACTGGAGGTGTGTGTCATATGCAGTGCGTTTACCAATGACATCGCTCGTGCGCTTTTCCGGCATCGATAGGCGCTTGTCTCCGCAGCAGGCTGTCCAGACCGGAGATCCATCGCGTGTGTGCTCTGTGTGTGTTTGTGACCGACTTAACACTTCGCGCAAGTCGAGGTCAGCGGAGAATGATGTGTGCAGGGCACCGCAGTGAAATCCTCAAGCAACCCCCCTGCTCCAAAAGGACCAATTGGTTTTGCACGGCCTTTGCTGCAGAGCAAAGTCCATATGTGGCTGATGTCATCTAATTGACTAATAGCGCTTGCGTGCCGCTGACCTTGGCCCCAGGGAAAACCCGCGCGGCTTCTTGTCCCCAGTGAAGAGAACGCACTGTAATGATTGTGGCGATCGATACGGCCTCGTCAGTGTTTCATTGAGTGGAAAAGGTCTTCGTCCGACCCGACTTGTAACAAAGGAAATGGAAAGAGAGGAACAGATAATGAATGAATGCTCCGCAAGGAATATTATTAAAATGAACGTTGGAGGCATTGCAAGGCAGGGGTTCAGTTAACGTTAATTTGCAGGGATTAACCTCCATGCCAATTAAGCAAATGTGCATTCCATTCGATTAAACGGAAGGGAAGTGCAATGGCTCTCCTGATGATCTGTGCCGATGACACCCTTGGCGCACCTATCTGGCCGACGGAGGTGTCATTGAGGTTAATGCCTCGTGTTGCCATTAATAACGCTCGGCGTGCACGACTTGCTTCTGCAAGCCGTGCGAGCGGGAGCCCAGCTTGAGAAGCCACTGGCATCTGTTCATTATTATGCTAATGGTTCACGCCAGGTGTATTTGATCGATGTAACCGAAGGGTTAATGTGAGAGTAAAGAACCTACCAATCCGGCTCGCACTCAGCCGTGAAGCGGCATCTGGCAGTAAATTTAACCCGGGGCCAAACGGCATTGCCCTTCCCAAACCCAGGCCCGCGTCTCGCCACCGCCTGAACTCTTAACGCGCCAATGAGACCCATGCCTGCGTTGTTCGCTGTGCGTCGCCGACCCTTCACTGCCAACGCGCGCCTAACCCCCCTCCCCCTTCCTGTCCTCTCCCCACTGCTGTCTCCTCCTCTCCTTCTCTCTACCCCTCCAACCCCATCGCTCGACCCGGCTCTCCCCGGCTCTCCCACGAAAGGCCAAAGCCACCCGAACCGTCCCCAACCGCGGCGAGGCGCAGGACCACGCTGAAGCGCATCCCGTCGGTGAGGCCGCTGTCTTGTCGCGAAGGCTCGGAATGCCCCCCCACTCTCCCCCACTCCCCACTCTCCCCCACTCTCCCCCTCCCCACTGACCCCACACCCTCCACGCCCCCACTCCCCCCCCCCCACCCCACATTCAACACTTGCAACTCTCATCGCGGCTTAACTTTCTTACTGGGGATAGAGAGAGCGGTGAAGCACATGCTAACATGGGTGACGAGTGATATCTGGACCGGTTTTGGCGTATCGTGTTACATGGCACACCTGTAAACGGGGGGAGGGGGGTGGAACCTACGCAGAAATATATCGGTGTTGTGTTTCAGAATCGGAATCTTTATCCTGGATGAATCCGACGAGCTATGAAGCGCTTTTTCACAGGCGTCCTCTCGGGGCGGGTCAGAGAGTTAAAACAACAAACAATACAAAAACTGATAAGAGTGTGAAGTATTGGAAAGGTAAACAAGTCTCTAAAAATAAATAAAGTTGAAAAGTACAAATTGCAAAAGTCCATCGAATCCTGCTGATTGGTCAACACTAAATGCAATCTTGGGCAAGGCAGCAAAACAACATCAGAAAACAGTCCCAGACCAAACCAAGACAACGCACAGTCCCTCAATAAAATTGCACGTTCAAATTGAACGATCGATACACGGTCTGGTAAGGATGAAAGTTGCAAATGAGTTGAATGAGATGATTACGATCGGAAAGTCACAAGGGGCATAGCCGTTGATGCCACCACCACACCTCACTGCCCAGGCTTTCTACCCTCTGCCAGACCCCCACAGCTGCTGCACAGTAGACACGCAGCCACCCTCCCAAGATCAGTCCGAACAGTCTCCCACCATCTGCTCTTGGGTCTCTACCCCTTGGTGGTCGGGCTCGTGGAGACCACTCTAATAACCGTCTCGGCAATCGGCCCTCCGCAGTGCTTCACACTTTGCCCCACCAATCGTACGAGAATGATGCATAGCAATGTTATTGATGCTTCTTGTGCAAAGTTAATCGAGCAGGCGGTCTTCCTTGCCACTGGACGGAAGGCCAGCTTAAGCGTGTAAGAATTCACAGGGTACAATAAGAGGCCTTTGCCCCCAGTAATTTGAAAATGTTAATGTTTTTAATGGAATTACTCCGAACAGTGCACCATCGCATCAGTTGGGCATTCGGGAAAACCCACAACGGGGCCACCCAAGTCACACTTAAGATGGTCGTGTGGGTATCTGTTTAATCACAGGTTTCTCCACATTCCTCCGTCGGTGGTGCCCGCACGTTACTCATTAACCACGCCGCACCTGGCGCCATCACATGAGAGCCTTTCCTTTGTAGATGTTATTTCAGCTTGACTACCTACCAGCTTCATATATTAAACGATTTGTAATCCAAATCAACGAGAACAGGTTTCATCTTCTTGGTTCGTTCGGTAAACAGGTTTGTTTAATGTGCAAGCCTTTACTAATGGCTGATAGTGTCAACTGATTAGTTTTCATTCTATTACTCAGTAAAGCCTGAGGGTTTAAATTGTTGGACAGCTGTGAGGGCAGTTGCAGCAGAATCCATCGTTGTGCTGCACTTATTTGCTCCCATGTCTGCTCCCCCCCCCGGCCTTTGGCAACCCGCACAGACCAGCGTGGTGAAGTATGGTCAAATAAACCCCACGACCCTCGTGTTGTGCGAAAACCTTTATCCAGTAGTGAATTGACAGAGGGCTGTATATGTATGTCCTCAGAAAAGCTGCTCTGAGTCGCTAGTCCTTTATTCAGGCCTTGCTTGAATAGGCATTGCTTGAATGATCTGGCAGTTTATCTTCGATTATGTTTCTATGTGGAAGGACACGGTGCCCGAGGAAAACCCCTCATCTTGAGAAAACCTAACCAAAACTCAAAAAAATAGGTCTGAGTTACTTGCTGGTACTGCCTCTTACAGGCATATCACGTGGGCATCTGGCACAATGTAAATTTCTGCACAATCCACCAACATTAAGGGTACTGAAACAACACATTATTGAGATGCATCACCTTATGTATAATGCACAACAAGCCTTCTTTTAGGCCACCAACATTAAACATCGTGGTCACATTACTTAAGGCAGTGGTAAAACATTGAGACGCCGCAGTGGCGAGATGTTAACTACCTCGCCCGGTGTACAGGAGGTTGTGGGTTTGATCCCAACCCTGACACCTGTATACTTGGAGTTTGCATGTCTCTCTCCCCGTGGTCACGTGGATTTTACTCCGGGTCCTCCAGGTTTTCTCTCCACATTTAGAAACATGCTTTTAGAGTCTTTGCCTGCTATAAGTTTCCAGGTCACTTCTGAAAAAAATATATACAATGTAGCTCAGTGGGCCTTACCTGGTAAAATAAAAATAGTTTATTTCAGACAACTATATATCGGCTTCATGTTTGTAATCGTCAGTTACGGTGTAGCCATCGTTGGATCACAGGTGTGTTCCACTGCACTTGATCCAAATGTTAAACCCAAGAACCCGCCCCCCTGATTTTTAACACAGGATTTTGCCAGTGAAAGCCTCAGAGTTGTAAAAATGCATTATCTCCGTGAGCTACCCAACCTCCTCCCAACTCAGAATTGCATACATAGGAAAAATCATCACAGCAGTTTGGCCATTACCAGTTGGCTTATCTTTATGCTTCACCACAACTTCGTATATGTAAGGGTAATGAGCACCAAATTTAATTTAATGGACTACATTTCTTATCGTGTGTAATTCTACTCCACCGTTATACGTAACTTTTGCAATCTTAAGTGTTGTGCGAGAGTACACGGGCATGATCTGCCTGCTGGATGAGACATTGAGCCAAGCCCCTCTCTCTCTCTGTTCTGTAAGCATTAAACATTCCACATAGTAGTATATTTTATTGGCATGCCAACCAACTCTGGGCAACGTTTTTAAGGCTTTGAATTTTTATTTAATTAAATTTCAATGGTCACACTGAACTATGAACCCCATCGGACGTGAGTTTGATTCACGGCCATGGCTTGCATCAGTGACGAGTGATAGTCTCAACCGGTCCTGGGCACCTGCTTGACTAATCGGCACCGACCAGCGTGGTGGAGATTTTGCCAAACCCCCTCCTCCCCGACACTGACATAGCATGGAGAAGGCTGCCTTCCAACATTGGATTGACAAAGGGCCGTAAATTGCGTGACTAAAAAAAACAATTTGTCTTTTGCAGTGAAATATAGGCTCAAAATCCACGTGCCTTAACAAGCAGTGACAAATGGCTTGCCAATGCAGGTTAACACACGTACGTAATTTTAACAGAGCTTGGTGTTGTAGGGTGTGGATGTGGGTAGGTGGCTGCCAGGTTTTAAGTGCATATGAACTGTTGGCCAAAGGATTGAGTCAAGGTTTACCCAGGGTTTGGCTATTTGAATGGAAAACTAAAATTTGGCCAGGGCATGAATCTGAGCCATCAGAGATAGACTTTGGTTGACACGGCTTACAGCGTCTCAGCCCATTGAAGTCGACTCTGCTACTCCTTTTTATCCGGCGTTGCCCGGGGAAAGAATATATTTAAAAACGTCTCTTAACATAACATACATACACAAATACGTAGCTATTGTGAAAGCCCGGCATTCCGTTTGTCCATTTGTCCATTAACAAAATTATAAGAGGCTTGCAGGAGTCCAAAAACTTATAGAAAGTGTGGGGTAAATAGTTGATCTTAAAGGTTTCAAAAATTGTCGACCCCCCCCCACGTAGGCATATATACCTTACACACTCTACGTACAATTGAGCGAGTAGTATCTAATGACTCTAGAGTAGTATCTGACTCTACAATAGTATCTAGCTCTACAGTAGTATATATTGACTCTATAGTAGTATCTATTTACTCTATAGTAGTATCTACTGACTCTATAGTCGTATCTGCTGACTCTGTAGTAGTTGCTACTGATTATACAGTAGTATCTACTGAGTCCAGTAGTTGCTACTGACTGTACAGTAGTATCTACTGACTGTAGTAGTATCTACTGGCCCTACAGTAGTATCTTCTGACTCTATAGTAGTAATTACTAACTCTATAGTAGTATCTGTAACTCTAAATTAGTATCCACTGACTAGTATTATCTACTGACTGTAGTATTATCTACTGACTCTATAGTAGTATCTATCGACTATATAGTAGTATCCACTGACTATAGTAGTAATTATTAACTCTATAGTAGTATCTGCTGACTATATAGTAGTATCTGCAGACTCTATAGCAGTATCTACTGACTATAGAACGATTTACTTACTGTAGTAGTATCTACTAACTCTACAGTAGTATATACTGACTCTATAGTAGTATCTACTGACCATAGTAATATCTACTGACTGCATAGTAGTATCTACTGACTATAGCAGCTTTTATTGACTGTACTGGTTTTTACTGACTGTATAGTAGTATCTACTGTCTATAGGAGTAGCTACCGACTCTATTGTAGCAACGACTGATTCTATAGTAGTATCCACTGACTATAGTAGTAACTACTAACGTTAAAGTAGTGTCTACTAACTCTATAGTAGTTTCTACTGATTGTCGTATCTACTGACTGTATAGTAGTATCTACTGATTGTAGTAGTATCTACTGACTGTATAGTAGTATCTACTGATTGCAGTAGTATCTACTGACTGTATAGTAGTATCTACTGATTGTAGTAGTATCTACTGACTGTATAGTAGTATCTACTGATTGCAGTAGTATCTACTGACTGTATAGTAGTATCTACTGATTGCAGTATTATCTACTGACTGTATAGTAGTATCTACTGACTCAATATTGGCATCTGCCGACTCTATAGTCGTAGTAAATATTGACTCGACAGTAGTATCTAATGACTCTATAGTAGTAACTACTAACGCTAAAGTAGTGTCTACTGACTCTATAGTAGCATCTACTGAATCTATAGTCGTATTTATTGACTCTAAAGTAGTATCAACTGACTGTAATAGTAACTATTAACTTTATTGTAGTATCTGCTGACAATAGCAGTACCTGCTTACTCTATAGTCGTATCTACCGACTCTACAGCAGTATGTGCTGACTATAGTGGTATCTACAGACTAGTATTATATACTGACTCTATAGTAGTATCTACCATCAATAATAGTAACTACTGACCCTACAGCAGTATCTACTGACTCTATAGTAGTATGTATTTACTCTATAGTAGTATCTACTGACTGTAGTCATAACTACTGACTCTATAGCAGTATCTGCTGACTCTATAGCAGTATTTGCTTACTCTATAGCAGTATCTACTGACTCTGCAGTAGCATTTACCGACTCTGCAGTAGTCTCTCCCGACTTTACAGTAGTATTTGCCGACTCTATAGTCATATATACCGACTCTATAATAGTATCTATCGACTCAATAGCAGTTAACTACTAACTTAATAGAGTGCCGTGGTGAGGCCTAGTCCTGTCAGTGCCCCCGGCCTCGCCTAACTTGCCCAGCCAGCCGAGGTGGCACTTTTGCAGGCTGGGGTGCTACCCCACCCCACCATCCCCCTGCCCGCTCTACAGTAATAGTATCTAAGGACTATAGTAGTCTTGATTTGAAGCTTTCGTGACTGCAGGTAAAGTCACGTAGGTATACTTACGTGGCTTTACCGAAAGAACCAAAGAGTATGACTATAGTAGTATCTACCGACCCTATAGGATTAAGTGCACACATTGGTGGCAGGGGGGGCGGAGAAGAGGACATCACACTGTGAAGAATTTACCTAAGCGTTGTGTACTTTTGTTGTTGAATATTTTACGCAAACGTCAATTCCCCCCTCCTCCCCCCACCGATCGCGTGTGTGCGTTGCTAGGGCAACCACCACCATGAGCCGGCGTTTTCGCGCATGCCCAGATGCGTGCTCTGGCGCCACTCTGTGCTTATAAAAGGAATAAATTGCTAATTTTACTACTTTAACGTTGACAGATGTGAAATATGAATAGCGTTTTTTGTTGCTGGGGCATATGGCGTGGTATCCGTGTACTTTTTTTGATACGTAAACACCACAGTTTGTCAGTTAAAAACGTCTCAAGGTACCCGCACCGACACACAGACAGACAGACGGATGCACACAGACAGACAAAAAATTACATATGTAAGATGTTTGGCTAAGGGAGCCGGCCTGTGCATAGTGATGTAGGACTCACTCTGCCTCGTAATTAACACTGCTGAGTAATTAAACTGCTATTCTTAGCCCCAGTACTGGTGCTATAATTAAGACGGCAATCGCACTAAGCAGGCTTCACGGGGGACAGGTCGTGCAGAGGCGCAGAAGGCACTTCCATTCCGTGAAAAAAATGAGAGGAGTGAGCTGTTGAAGTCTCGGAGCACGCGATATATCACCGTGAGGAAAAGGTACGATATGACAAACGTTAAGGGAGAAAATAAATTCAGTTGGGCTTTTGTGGTGGCCACGCCAGGTGTGTGTGTGTGATTGTATTTTTGTTGAATTAATTACGGGGTTATTTTTAAGCGGGGTTTAGGTGCACACATCGTGTTCTGATGCTGGCTCAACGTGATGTTTTTTGTCGGTGGTGAATTTTAGCAGGTGCAAAGCCATCCCATCGTTCCGGCTCCCCTGCAGATTCCCTACGGCAATCGCTACCCGGAACCACACCTGGCCTCTCAAGGTATGTGGCTAAAAATAATCTGCGCTGTCTTGTTTCATAATTCTCGATCGCAATGTTGGCCTGTTAATTTTAAATACAAACATATATATATTTCGACTAACACCCACGCACGTTTGCGCACCCGAGCCTGTCCATGCACGCGTCGCGTAAGAATTCAGCGTGAAGTGCGATGACATCATCACGGTGTCATCGGTAATGACGTCATCACGGTGTCATGCGGCCCTGTAGGGCGACTTCACCGCGGCGAAGCGATAGGTGTTGTTTAAGGGACTGTGACATCATATGGAACGGGCTTAAATAAAGTGAGGGAAAAAAGTATTTGATCCCCTGCTGATTTTGTACGTTTGCTCACTGACAAAGAAATGATCAGTCTATAATTTTAATGGTAGGTTTATTTGAACAGTGAGAGACAGAATAACAACAAAAAATCCAGAAAAACGCATGTCAAAAATGTTATAAATTGATTTGCATTTTAATGAGGGAAATAAGTATTTGACCCCTCTGCAAAACATGGCTGAGTACTTGGTGGCAAAACCCTTGTTGGCAATCACAGAGGTCAGACGTTTCTTGTAATGGGCCGCCAGCTTTGCACACATCTCAGGAGGGATTTTGTCCCACTGCTCTTTGCAGATCTTCTCCAAGTCATTAAGGTTTCGAGGCTGACGTTTGGCAACTCGAACCTTCAGCTCCCTCCACAGATTTTCTATGGGATTAAGGTCTGGAGACTGGCTAGGCCACTCCAGGACCTTAATGTGCTTCTTCTTGAGCCACTCCTTTGTTGCCTTGGCCGTGTGTTTTGGGTCATTGTCATGCTGGAATGCCCATCCACGACCCATTTTCAATGCCCTGGCTGAGGGAAGGAAGTTCTCACCCAAGATTTGACGGTACATGGCCCCGTCCATCATCCCTTTGATGTGGTGAAGTTGTCCTGTCCCCTTAGCAGAAAAACACCCCCAAAGCATGTTTCCACCTCCATGTTTGATGGTGGGGATGGTGTTCTTGGGGTCATAGGCAGCATTCCTCCTCCAAACACGGCAAGTTGAGTTTATGCCAAAGAGCTCCATTTTGGTCTCATCTGACCACAACACTTTCACCCAGTTGTCCTCTGAATCATTCAGATGTTCATTGGCAAACTTCAGACGGGCATGTGTATGTACTTTCTTGAGCAGGGGGACCTTGCGGGCACTGCAGGATTTCAGTCCTTCACGGCATTGTGTGTTACCAATTGTTTTCTTGGTGACTATGGTCCCAGCTGCCTTGAGATCATTGACAAGATCCTCCCGTGTAGTTCTGGGCTGATTCCTCACCGTTCTCATGATCATTGCAACTCCACGAGGTGAGATCTTGCATGGAGCCCCAGACCGAGGGAGATGGACGGTTCTTTTGTGTTTATTCCATTTGCGAATAATCGCACCAACTGTTGTCACCTTCTCACCAAGCTGCTTGGCAATGGTCTTGTAGCCCATTCCAGCCTTGTGTAGGTCTACAATCTTGTCCCTGACATCCTTGGAGAGCTCTTTGGTCTTGGCCATGGTGGAGAGTTTGGAATCTGATTGATTGCTTCTGTAGACAGGTCTCTTTTATACAGGTAACAAGCTGAGATTAGGAGCACTCTCTTTAAAACTGTGCTCCTAATCTCAGCTCGTTACCTGTATAAAAGACACCTGGGAGCCAGACATTTTTCTGATTGAGAGGGGGTCAAATACTTATTTCCCTCAATAAAATGCCAATCAATTTATAACATTTTTGACATGCGTTTTACTGAGTTTTTTTGTTGTTGTTAATCTGTCTCTCACTGTTCAAATAAACCTATCATTAAATAATAGACTGATCATTTCTTTGTCAGTGGGCAAACGTACAAAATCAGCAGGGGATCAAATACTTTTTTCCCTCACTGTATAAGTCAATAGGGAACCGAAATTTCCGACAATTCTATCAATAAGCCACGAGTCACTCTTCCGGAAGACTCTGGCTCCCATTGGTTTGTATTGGACGTTATTTTTCGTGATGTTTGGGGGGGAGGTGGGAGGGGGGGGTTAATGCCGTTAATTGAGAAAGGCAACAATTTTGTGGGGAATGTCCTCACCAAGAGGAAACAGTTTTGTTGCAAACAAAAAAAAAATGACGCGGCGAATCACGTGCGAGATACGGAGCGCGTGCCGGACGGACACTTGCGCATTGTACACGTGTATATATTTCATATGTAGATTGTGCTATCGATGCCAAATCAGGAGATGAAAAAATCACCACTTGCAACTTTTATGTGAAGCATCGTTTTCTACCCTTTGTCAGAAGTGTCACTGAGAGGCGGCAGTTTGGAAATTCTTCTGATGTCCCGGTTATCCGGCGATGAAGGTGCTTGCATGTCCTGCTATCGAGGTGTTCTTAGCAGGGAAATCGGAAGAAAAAAAAAATTGCCCTCGACGATATGAGCCAATTTAAGTCAAAACTCAAATTGAATTACTTTCTTCGAGCGATAATTGGTGATTAGGCTTGGAGCATGGAACTCACTAAGCTGGAGATGCCTGCTAAATCACTGGTGGATTATACCCAGATTTAAAGCCAAAATAATTTCAGGAACATCAGCTAGGTGTTCTGACATGATATTAGACAAATTATTTTGGTGGTACTGCGTTGGCAGTGATGCACGAACACAAATAACACAAAAGCTCAACATGGTTGTCAATGAAACTGCGTAAAAAACGAGAAAGTATGAAACACTTAAGATTTCAAAGTATGGGGGTGCCGTGTTGGTGAGATGTGAACAACCTCACCTGGTATACAGGCGGTCGTGGTTTCGATCCCGACCCTGACGCCTGTATATTTGGAGTTTGCGTGTCTCTCTCTCTCCCAGCGGCCGCATGGATTTTTCTCCGGGTCCTCCAGTTTTTCCCTCCACATTTAGAATGAATGCGCGTTTAGAGTATTTGGCTGGTATACATTTCCACTTGTATTTGAGCTATCATTTGTTGCCAGGTCGATTCTGAAAAAGAGCAATAGTAGCTCAGGTGGGCCTTACCCGGTAAAATAAAAAAAACATTTATTGAGTTTAGTTTTATGAAATTGGGCCTTCCTCACAGCACATAGAGAGGCCAGAGACGTCGTCATCAGCACACATTGCCCAAAACGTAACCTATGATATACTTTTCAGTTTTAAAGGCCACAGTGTTATTGACAAATGTGAACGGACATTTATTCTGAATGGGCAGTGCCTTAGCAATTGTGCCAGAGCAATTGAATCGTCACCCGCTGTTATTTGCTGAATGCGGCGTTTGCAGTTTGAATTCTGTGCAAAATGCCCTGGTTAGACATGAGGTCAGCGGTGAATGAGAAATTATTTGTGTTCAGCCATTGACCAAAGTGGTTGTGGCCGAGTGCTTCCAGTTTAATTATTGATTGGGAGTCCCAATTACGCTATCGGCCGTTCAAATCAATAAGATGAGTACCACTTTCTGAGAAGTAGCGGCAGTTTACGTACAATTTGTGTGAATGTAGAGCCTGTTCATGAATGCACTGCTGGAAGAGGTGTCGCCTTCGCCCTGCGGGTCGTGGGCATTATTTGACCATACGTCACCAGGGATCGACTGGTTCCTGTCATATGGCCGTGGAATTTTTACATCTGAATTAGGACCACCGATGGAGCTGAATACCACCCAGGACATTTTCTTCCGTGCGACACTTCTGGTTTTCACTGTAGGTGTGCGCTGTTGTGCTGTACAGCTCTCTGATCCGATTTTGGTTTGTAACGCACGCTGTTTAAACTATAAACTGAACTAGAAACAATTTTTTATTTGACCTGGCCACAAATTATAGCTCAACGAAGTGGCTTATCACGTGGAAATTTGTAGCAGCCAAATGCTCTGAACGCGCGTCAACTCTAAATGTGGAGGGAAAAACCGGAGGACCCAGAGAAAAATCCACACAACCACGGGGAGAACACGCGCGCTTCAAATATAGCGGCATCAGAGTTTGTATCGAACCCACGACCTCCTGTATATCAGGCGAGGTAGTTAACATCTCTCCACCTCGGCGCCCTCAGGGGACTATTGGTGGATTGTGCAGAAATGTACATAGTGCCAGTCACCTACCTGCATGACAATGAGGAGGTACCTATAAGAGGCAGTACAGCAAGTAGCTCAGACCAATTGTTTATATTCTCATGAGCAGGGGTTTTCCTCGGGCTCTGTGTCCTTCAAACTGCGATGCTTACATCGTGTTTGACATGGAAGTTCAACGTTTTGACCTTATGTCCGGACCGAGCCGAAGCTCCCGGCACGTCGAACGCAGTGTCGGGGCATCGTGCCCTGCAGTGCGCGGTTCGACTTGCTTTTTTTTCTGGTTGGAGGGCTAAACTTCCGACGTCATAAACAAAAAAACCGACGTTAACAACAGCAACCCGCAACGCATTTCCTCTGCCGGCTGCCCCTCAACAGACAACATCTTCTACCCCAACGAGGACGGCTACTACTACCGCTCGCAGACGAGCCTGGACCACGTGCACGTGAACGGAGGCGGCGGAGGCGGCGGCGGCGGCCGCCTGCCCAACGGCAGCGTGTACAGCGCGCCCAGCGTCAACTCGCTGAACCACTTCGCCCAGGCGTCGCCCATGTCCTCCGACCTCAGCATCCCGGGCAGCGAGGCCGCGGCCGGCGTCCTCGCGCGGCCGCCAGAGCCCCTGCAGCAGCGGCACAGCGCGCTCGTCATGCCCTCCTACCGGCCGACGCCGGACTACGACACGGTGATGCGGCAGGCCGGACGCTTCGGCATGCCGTGCCGGGCCGACGGCAACGTGGGGTACGCGGCCGGCGGCGGCGGCGGCGGCGGCGGCGGCGGTGGCGCCGTGCGATCCGGCGGTGGACCCTGGCTCGGGGAGGCTTACGCTTACGGCCGCGCCGCAACTCTCGCGTACAGCCAGCCGGAAATCCGGCAAGGCCAGTACGAGCAGCGGCCACCTTACTTCTACCTGCACCAGCAACATCAGCACCTGCATCAGCAGCAGCAGCAGCAGCAACAGCAGCAGCAGCAACAGCAGCAGCAGCAACAACAGCAGCAACAAATGCTGTGCATCAAGAGCAGCCACCCGCAGCTCCCGTACGGACATCAGCAGCTGCCGCCCTTCGGCCCGGGTGCGCCGTCGCAGCTGTGTGCCACGCAGTCGGTGATCGGCAACGCGGAGATCTTCCATGCGGTGAGCACGCCGGAGCTCGCCGTCGACCCGTCGCAGTACCCGCCGCAGGTGGCGGCCATGCTGCGCAACCACTTCTCCCGCCCGCCTCCGCCCTACCCGACCCCTCGTCCCGCCGCGAGCACGCCGGACCTCATCAGCCACCAGCGCTCGTTCGCGGGCGCCGCCAGCGCTAACGGCGGGTACCACCAGCACCAGCACCACCGCGAGCGAATGTTCGCGGAGCCCATCGTGCACCCCGTCTACCGGCAAAACACCGTTCCCCAGCTCTCGACCGGCGGGACCGAGTCTCTGACGGCTGCCGGGCAGTCCCCCGTGGAGCTGTGCGATGCCGCCGGGGTCGGCTACGGCGGTGGCGGTGGAGGAGCGGGGCCGACTCGTGAAGGGGCGCTGGGCTCGTCGCGCAGGAGGGGCGCCGCGGGCGTGCGCAAGCGCTACAGCCTCGAGGTGAACAGCAGCGTGGTGCGGGACATGGAAGCACTGTCGCTGCGCGACCGCGCCGTGTCCAGCCTGGCCATAGGAACAAGCAGCCCCTACCAGCACCAGCAACAGCAGCAACAGCAGCAGCTGCCGGCGCATTACTACAACGGGCAGGCGCTGCTCGTCGGAAACGGAGAGCACACGGACGGGCTCCAGCCACCCCCTAGGCCACCGTTCGAGCTGCCAGCGCAGTCCTACCAGCACAACCTCGCGTACAGCCCGCAGCTGCAGGCCATGCTGGCGCGGCTGCCGAACAAGCCCCCGCCGGAATACCCGCGCCGCGAGGCCACGCTGCCTCCTCCGCCCCCGCCGCTGCCGATGATGTCGGGAGGGCGGTCGCCGGGCCACCACCCCTACTCGAACGGTGTTTCGGACGGGAGCGGCGTGGGTGGGGACGGCAGGCTCTTTGCCGGCTCGGCGATGGTGCCGTCCGTGTCGGAGCCCGACCTGAGCACGGCCGTGAAGACGCGGACGAGGGCGAACCCGGCGCGCGAGAGGCCCGTGTCGGAGCTGTTCGCCGTGCAGGACAGCATCGTGGAGAGGGAGTTTGTGCTGCGCGTGAGTGGCACCCACCGCACTGATACGTCGACGTGGAATTGAGTGGCATCCACCGCACTGATTCGTTTTCGCTAATTAAAGTGGCACCCCCGCCGCACTAATTCGCAAAACTGAGATTTCCCTGCGACACCTGCGAAACTAAATCTCATTTTACATCCTTTTTTTCAATCCACCACTGGATTAAGGCCTCATGTCATGTCAGTCCATGGGGGTTTTTTGACCATACCTCACCATGCTGGCCTGTGTTAGGTCGTGGCCAAACTTGTGTGTGGCTGGATTTTTAGTTCAGTGCGATAACTATTAAACTATGAAACTATTTTTTTTATTTTACCAGGTAGTGCTCACTGAGCTATATAGCTCTTTTTCAGAAGCGACCTGGCCACTAATGATAGCTCAACGAAGTGGCTGATGTGGAAATTCATACCAGGCAAATACTCCAAATGCATGTTTTTAAATGTGGAGGAAACAAACGGAGGACCCAGAGAAAAAAATCCACACCACCACGGAGATAACATGTAATCTCCATATGTATACAGGGTTCAGGGTCGGGATAAAACCTACGACCTGTGTACCGGGTGAGGTAGTTAACATCTTGCCACAGTGACGCAACGTTCGTGACAGTAAGACGCCGCCAAACGGTCTGCCGAAGCCATTGAACAAAAACTACAAAAATGACGCCGCTGTTCTCATTTGCTGCTTTTTGTTTTGCGCAGTGACTCATTCGGTCGTGGCGCTTCTCGCCATTAAAACTGTGTCAGCTTTTGCTGGCCGCTGTTAATAGGTTTTAGTTTTTTTTTTGGTTCTTCATTGCAGAACATGGAAAAGAGAGGCTCTGGGCCAGCTGAGATTTCCAAACTGGGTCCTATCAAGCTGGCCGCTCTCAACGGCCTATCCATCTCACAGCTGCCCGTGCCCGAGGAGAGCAGGGAGGAGACCGCCAGGGGACAGCTGGACGAGAGGGTACAATCCCCCTCATGGGTTGTGTCCAAGTGGACGTGTACACGGCCCTTCTGTCCCGTGTGTGTGTGTCTGTCTCTTTGTTAGCTGGGCCTCTCTATTGGTCTGTCAAACTCCGTGTGTCACGAACTGCTTTTTTGCATTTAGTCATTTCCCCTCTTCCGCCCCCCCTCCCCCCGTGCTTCCGATTAACACAGCTGGCTACGTCCGTTGCAAAAGAAAGGTCAATGTACATACATACATAATGCATGTTGGTCTGTCTTTCTCTAGATTTCTGCCTGTTGTCAGATTCTGTGCCTTTCTGTTGATCTCTCCCATTGGCTCCCTGCCTGACTCTCAGTTTCTCAGTCTTCCTGTCTGTCACTTGGACTGTCTGCCTTGTGGTTCTTTTCTATCTTTGTCTGTTGTTATCAGTATTTTTGCCCGTCAGATTCTGCCACTCTATCTGTTTGTGAATATTTTTTATTGCATTGTATGTCCATGTCCTGACTTACTCTTGTCAGTCTCTAGAATTATTATATGTAACCATGATTGTAACTAAGAGTCGTACAGTATAACATCTGTACCATCACAGGACGCCCATGAAACAGAGCCGAACATCCCATTGGGCCCTTCCTTCTGAAATAAATACAATCTATTTATTATGTCTGCTGGTCTCCCACTATCTGTCTTTACGCATGTTTTGCTGTCTATTTAAGCATATGCCTGTCAACCTAATAATTTGTCTATTTTCATAAATTTCTCTTGCTGTTATATGTTTAATATCGGTCTGTATTTTGTATTGTTATTTTATTAATCTGTCAATCTTTGTATCTGTCTATATTACCATCCAGCATTGCAGTTTCCTTTTGCATATTCTGTACATATATGCCAAAATGGATTGGTTAACATTCAGTCCGGGTCATTAAAAAGTCTAAACGTCGCTTTTGCAATTATGATTGTCACTGGGTCTGTCCGCTGTTGCCACCACGGTAGAGTCACCAGGTGTGCTACGATATTTTTCGGAATTACAGGAAAGCAGAGAACTTCACTGGTTCGCGAGCTGTGCCAGACCAACTCTCCTCCTCCATGCCATTCAGTGGCCGATCCAACCCCCACCTCCCACCCTCCACGTGCTGCCATCCCCTCTCCATTGGCCGCGGCGCAGTAGCACGGCAGCAGGCAGCCAGCCATCGGGCCCCCACCCCCGACCCCTCTCAACTTGCTCGGCCACGCATGCTCAGTTGGGATCGTTTGGTTTGGCGTGTCACGAAGTTCAGGCAAGCTCGAAACTAGTGTGCGTGCTGTGGAATGAAAAGGGTACGTTTCTCTCCCGCCCACCGCCGCCACAGCCCCCCCGAACCCCCCCCCCCCCCCCCCCCCCCCCCGTGTAGCCTTAACAGACTGTTGGGGCAAGTGCTGTTAGCGAGTAGCACCTATGAAGGCCGGCGCGGCACACGAGGGGGTGGGTAGGCAGCACCGTGCCCGACCGCCTTTGTCTCCCCCGTGGCGATTTTTTGCACATCGCACCAGGTTACTCATTTGAGGCTGAGTCGACCTTGCGGAGGAAGCACCGTGACCGGTTCAGACAGTCGTCACCGATGGTGTTGTCCGTGAGCGGGAGTCGAACTCGGGTCGCCGGGTTCGTAGCGCAGTGCGCTAACCGCTACACTTCCGCTCGCCCCCCTTCTCCTTCCGCCACCGCCGCCTTGCCCTTGCCCTTGCCAATGCCCTCTCCCCGGTATCCGGTACGGGGGACGACAGTGCGCGCGCTTGGAGAAGCGGGTGGCGCGCGGCCTCGTGTCGGCCGAGTACGAGTGCATTCCGCGCACGCGCCCGGACCCCGTCTACAGCACGGCGGAGCTGCCCGACAACCAGGAGAGGAACCGCTTCGGCGATGTGCTGCCCTACGAGCAGACGCGCGTCGAGCTGCTGCCCAGCAAGGACAACCCGACGGGATACATCAATGCCTCGCACGTGCGGGTGAGGGCCCCGGGGAGGTTGTGGTCGCGCACTCGAAGGAGGAGCGGTTAACCGCCCAGCACGATGTAAGCCGCGCTGGCGAGATGTTGACTACTTCGCCTGGTATGCAGGAGATGATGCGTTCGATCCCTGTTGCAAATTTGGAGTTTGCATGTTCTCCCTGTGGTCGTGTGGCTTTTTCTCCGGGTCCTCCATTTTTTCCCTCCACATTTACAATCAACATGCGTTAAGAGTATATGGCTGCTTTACATTTCCACCTTATAAGCCACTTCGTTGAGCTATCATTTGTGGCCAGGTTGCTTCTGAAAAAAAGAGCTACATAGCTCTGTGGGCCTTACCTGCTAAAATAACAAAAATATTTATACGAGTTTGCAACGTCGCAACCGCCGCCGCCACGGCTGCCGTTAAAATGACACCGCCGCCACCACGTTCAGTCGTCACCACCGCTATCAGGAAAATGGCCACTGACTTGTACCATACAGCTTTGTTGGCAAGCTACTGCTGGATGACAGTCTCCTCGCACTATGCAGGCCGTAAGAGTTGTTTGACCATAATTGACTACGCAGTGCGGACTGCTGAAGGCAGGGAGCATCAATGTTGCAGCATAGTACAGTACAATAATGGATTTGCTGCACTTGCCCTCTCCTGACATTGTTTCCACACAGCAACCTAGAACACCTGTTACATGCATGACTGGCCACCTATCTAAGCACTATCCAGGCTCAACTGTGCTTGGCCCTCCGTGATGAGAATTGGGGACATTCATGGTGATTTGGTCATACAGGGACTCCTCTACTTAGGAACATTCGACTAACGAACTTGCAGAGACACGAACAAACCTGTCCATATGTCCAGTTTCCAGAACATGAAGAACCAGTGGCATCTACAGGCGATTATACAACTTTTTAAGTCATTGCCCATGTTTAGTGTCCCTGCCATACAACACATTTGGAATCTACAGGAGTAAAGTTGGACTTACGAACAAATTGACTTACGAAGAGACCTCTGGAACCTAACTCGTTCGTAAGTAGAGGAGTCCCTGTATGTGTAAACGAGTGTTATGTATTGCAGAAGCATTTGTAATAATATGCATGTTTTACATGTATAACTTGTGTACGAACCTTTCGCTTGGGGTCGCTAATTCCCAGTGAGTTAACGGAAAGACTTAAAAGCGGTTTATTTTGTGATCTTCAAAACATTTGTAGTCGCTGTAGTTTAAATATATGTATGCTGAACTTTCGCACCATACGTAGTCAACCGTGCTAATCGGCGGTGCAGGGTGGGAGGACAAACTAACAGTGTGATACCAAACTATAAGCCAGGCTCTATCCTGCCTCTCTATTCTTCGTGAATGCCATTACCAGAAACATTACCCTGTTATATAAACAGTGCGATTGTTTCTGTTTTCAGAGCAGTATTGGTTTGTGGAAAATAAAAAAAAAATTCACTAAATGGCCAGCGGATGGAGTAGTTTTGCCTGGCCGAAGTAACATGGATCTCCCGTGGACAAAAGAGTATTGATCATTCCATTTACCACTATCTGGGGCAGCGGTCAGATGAAGTGTACATTTTCTAATACCTCTGTAATTGCAACAAGGAGAGATAATTGTCGGTACTTTTTTTTTCGCGTGTGTTTTTATTGGCGGGCGATTTGTACATTTCACACGAGTGCAAATGGCGTAGCGCTTGACAAACAAAAATTAGCCAACGGCTCGGCCGCCTGCGGAAGCGGGACCACCTTGTCATGAAAAGAAAGAGGGTCGCGTCACACCCTACTTCACATTACGATTGTGTAACGATCATTATCTATCACTTTTCTTTTTTACGGCCGTGCGTAAAGTTCATAAGTGCCGCCCGCCGCCGCACAAGACCTCGCCATTAACATTCACAATGTGCCTTTGATGGACCGTCCTCCCAATGCCCGTGATGTATAGATATATATTTTTACTTAATTATTCCCATAGAGTGCACACATAATCGAGCAAAAGACAGCGTGTAGATTGTTAGGGCACGGTGCTATTAGTGAGAATTTATTAAAGGCTGGCTCGGCACACAATGGGGGACGGGTATTGCAGCTATCGCGTCAATATTCGCCGATTGCTCCAAATAGTAATTTGAAGATAAGTTGCCCTTGGGGTGGCCCAGGACATGATTAGTTACAATAAATGCTGGATATGAGTACACCATTATACAAGCACGGCTCTAATGTGAGAAAACACATCCTTGCATTGGTGGGCGGGAAATCATGGGTGATTTCTGGTACAAGCACACGACTTTAGATGTTAAGCACAGCTCCCCCGTACTTACTCATCATGAGCAGGAATTGAACCTGGGTTGACGGGATCATAATGCAATGGGCCCATTGCGATGCTACTATGCGCACACGCGTGCACACGCGTACGGACGCGCAAGTGCGTGTTTGCGCGCGCGAAAAAAACCACGCGCACACTTCATATGCAGCACTCACGACTACACGGCACGGCGCTCAACAACAACAACAACAACAACAAAAAACCCATCACGTTAAAGCCAATCAATCGGCCACGCCGATCCGCGATTAAACAATTAAATGTTTGATTAACGCTCGTTACGGAATAAGTGGCTCCAAATGAACGGTTCCACGCTTGCGGTTTCGGGCGTGGGGGGGAAAAAAAAGCCCGCCGTGGCGCTCCTCCCCTTGTCCCGCATCAAAGCGCCCGGCCGTCTCGGGTGGCGGGGAAGTGTGTCCCGGCAGTTGCCGGTAATTGGCGCCCGCGGGCGAGAGAGAGAGAGAGAGGGCACAGGTGTCCCGTCCAGCCAGCCCTGTGGTCTGTGGAGTAAACAGGCGCGTGCCGTTACGCATTGCACGGCAGCTGATTTGTCGCACAGCTGCGATGCATTATTGCCGCCCCGTGAAAACGACGCATTGCTGCAATTGCCCGCCGCTTGCACACAAAGCGGGCACACATTAGTCGGGGTTTTTGTTTTCTTTTCTTTAGCCGCCCGCTGGCATGTAAAGAACACATGGCGGCGTGTCCCCCGAACACGTGAAAGTTAGGTTTGGAAGTTTGGAAATAGAATGCTTGTAGAGTTTGTTTATGTATATGTGTGTGTGTGTGTATAATGTGTAAGTATTTGCTGAAAGGACATGTGGCGCATTAGACATCTCAGCTGTCAGTTCCTCTTTCAAGAATGTATTTATTACCAAGTGTACGAAATATGTACACGTTTTGAAGTATGTACGTTATTCGGGTAAATTGTTATTGTTTCCGGAATAATAAATGTGTTACGTTACAGAGAATTTTACAAAAAACGTGAATAAAAACATATAAAATTCGGAGTAAACATTTGTAAATTAAATAAAAAAAACAACACATTGTATTCTTATGAAATAGAGCATCTGTATATCTAAGTGCTTATGTGAAAAACACTTTTTTATCATTAACAAGTGCAAGCAAGATGGCAGTGCAGTAAGAAGGTCCTTTACATATTTACATAAACAGCTTTTTTTGGCTATCTACTGCTGGATGAGGACCTCCACACATCGTGTGGGTCGTGGGGGTTATTTGACCATACTTCACCATGCTGGTCAGCGTGGGTTGGTCAAAGAATGGAACATAGATGTGGAAGTATAGAAGTATAGTACGGCAATCGATGTTGCTCCTCTATTGAGATATGTACAGATGTTTGTATTATCCCCATCCTATGGGTAGGCTTTCTCGGTATAGTCTGGTTTCCTATTCCGAAATAAACGCTCATTAAAGAATTGGCCAAAGGTTCCAAGCAGGACCCCCCTGAAACATTATTGAGGCTTTCCTGGATAAAGTGCGAGGCCCTGACACATGATTGTGATTGTGCGTGCATGTGTGCGTGTGTGCGTGCAGGTGAGGGTAGGTGGTGAGCAGTGGCATTATATCGCCACGCAGGGCCCTCTGCCCAACACCTGCCAGGATTTTTGGCAGATGATTTGGGAGCAGGGTGTGAGCGTCATAGCCATGGTCACACCTGAGCAGGTAAGACTTCGAGCAAAGCCACGGTGTGGGATACGTCGCACACGACTCGTCCGCTTAATGTTTTCCGCCAAAACCATCACGCAATCTCCGGTCACCCTCACAGCGGCAGCTTTTGGCTAACCCATCGAACAAACGTGGTCACTTGCATTGCGTGCTTTCAGATGCGCTCCTTCGGCCGTCTGCAACGCTCTTCTGATATTATGAAGCCACTCGAACTATGAACTTTTAAATGTAGATAAAAAAAACCTCATTTCTTTAGAACACCTTTGTGTGTTAAGTTTTTTTTTTTATCTTTCCTCCAGACATGTCATTAGTACGGTTGGCTACTTACGGTGCAAAAGCAGTTGAACTTACATACAATTTAAATTTCTTGTTGACTACGCTAGCCTAGAGGAAAAGAAACGCAAAATACCGATCTCACTTATCCTGCGGGTTGTAAATACGCGTACACCGACTATGTGTCCCAAGTTGTCTGACCATCTTTGTTCAAGCGTATCCGAACGGGTAGCGCTGTAGCCCGAGACCTTGACTCGCAATCGCAACCTGGGTTCGAATCCCCGAACCGGTGGTCGCCTCGGCCCATCGGCGCTCACCTCTGGAAAACTCTTTCACGGCCGATCGCCACCGCCCCTCCCCCCTCTCAACAGGAGAGCGGACGGCAGAAGTGCCACCGCTACTGGCCCAAGCTCGGCTCCAAGCGCAACTCGGCGAACTACGGCGACTACCGCGTCACCACCAAGTTCCGCACGGACTCGGGCAGCTACGCGACGACGGGTCTCAAGGTGAAGCACCTGCCCTCTGGGCAGGAGCGCACCGCGTGGCACCTGCACTACCCGGACTGGCCCGACCACGGCTGCCCCGAGGACGTCCAGCGCTTCCTGGGTGGGTGACCGCGCGAGGCCCGCTGTGCGTCGTGCCATGTGTCCGCGCGTAATGCGGTATCCACGGTGGCAAGATGTTAACCATCACGCCTGGTGTACAGGAGTTTCATGGGTTCAATCCCGACCCTGATGCCTGTTTGTATATTTGGAGTTTACGTGTCTCTCTTTCTCCCCGCGGTCGCGTGGATTTTTCTCCGGGCCCTCGGGTTTTCCCCCTCCACATTTAGAATTAACGTCACGCGTTTGGAGTATTTGGCTGCGATATATTTCCACGTGATAAGCCACTTGTCTCTGAGCTATCATTTGTGGCCAGGTCTCTTCTGAAAAGAGCTATAAAACTCACTGAGCTTTACCTGGTAAAATAAAAAAACGATAGTTTAGTTTAAGTTTGATGTGTCTGCCATTTAAGCCGTCCGATGTGATTTTCGGGTCGTCACCGAGCAACTCCGTGGTCCAACCCGAAAACCGCGACGGAGAACTTGGGATGTTGGATGGAATTGTTTGAGGCAGTGGATGGATGGATACGGGGGTCAGCTGGTTGCATCTGCACGTTGTTGCAGGGGTTTGTGAGAAACCTGGTCTGGGTCAGTCGCTTCTATCGCAATGCAGAGATGGGCAAAATACATTAAAGTTCAACACTTCTGGAAGAAATGTAATTTTACACCTCCAATTAGCAAGGTTGGCTACGTATGGTGCAAAATAAGTTCAGCATACATAGCTGCAAATGACCAATTACTTTGAGTTATGTAATAGAGATACCAATTACAGATTATATGAATGTAATACAATTGCTAATTAAAATCACATATAATGTAGATACTGCCCTATAGACTTTGCATATGGATGATCGTGTGTATTGGTTTGTACGTATATACGTATCTCTTTATGGGGTAAATCTTCTAAACTCCAGTCCTTTATGACACTGCATTATGTGAGTGAACTGAAGATTTTTACATTTCACCTTCCACCAACCACCGGTCACTTTGACCTCAAGTTCGATCAATAAACTTTTTTTAACCGTGCCAAGACTGCTTGTCAGAAACCAGCTGGCGGAAGGAATGGAAGGCAAAATCGGCACCATTCCCCAGCTCTTTATCGTAAATCCCACAGTCTGTCCACCTGGCTCCAATCCGCCCCGCCAGTGTTAGTAATTGCAAAGCCCGCGGGCCCACTGGCAGCCCCTAGTGGCCTTTAGTGCGGGCCCTGACGTGCGGCCCCCAGACATAACTTGTAAAAACACCCCCATTGTGCTGTCAAACCCAATGGTTTCAAATGTGTCTCAGCCCTCTATCGATGTCTTATCGGCGAAAGGTGCCCCCCCCCCCCTTCCTCTGAAAATTAGTGAAGAACACTGAACCACGCCGTAAATGGGCCTCGCTTAGAGCTTCCGGACAGGGCAAGGTCTCTGTGCAGCCAACCTCCACCGTTGGGGTCTTCATTACAACCCAAGCTGGCAGCTGTGGCAACCGTACAAGCAATGTCGCAGAATTGTTGACGACTTTCCACTGGTTAAGTTCGGCAGAGCTCTACGAGAATAACACATGGCCACCGAGGACGCTGTCGCGCGGCTCGGCGATTACGCGCACGTCGAATGAACGAGTAGGTGTTTTTTTGTTTTGTTAACTTGGGTCCAAAGACATAGACTGTAAATTGGTTATCATCGTCATTGCCTTAGGTCTCCCATTCCGTTCATTCAGAATGGGCCCTCAATCTGTTGGATAGTCACTATTTGCGTGCTGGAGACTAACAGACTCGCAAACAACCTAATTATAATGCAGATGACGATTGCTAAGATGGAAACCACCCCGTAATTTAACACTGGCCCTGCCCATCTCTCATCCATCCCCCCCACTGCTCTCGTCGGTCCCTGTGTGCGCCCCTCCCCGACAGCATTTCTGGAGGAGGTGCAGTCTGTGCGCCGGCACACAAACTCCATGCTGCCGCCCCATACCGCGAGCCCGCCCGTGGTGGTGCACTGCAGCGCCGGCGTGGGCCGTTCCGGCGTGCTCATCCTCACCGAGATCACCATCGCCGGCCTGGAGCACAACGTGGTGAGCGTCTGCCACGTGCGGCCACGCGCAACAATTCCACAGGCCCCCTCAGCCCAGCCACTCTCTTGTCTCTCGCGGCTCGGAGGGGGTTGCCCCGAACCCCGTTTGCGCGCGACCTTCACAACGGCGCGGCAAAAACGATCGCTCCTCGCGCACGTCGTCCAGTGACATGGACAATGGATCGATGACGCGTCGTCGATGCAGCCTCGCTGGCTGGCTGGGGTGCACAGCAGTGTAGGGTTACAGCCGTCGTCGCGCCGATGCAATAAAAATGCAACGCGATTTTGAGGTGCGCGTAATGAACAAGGCGCCAATGTTATTACCCTTGACGCCATCCGTAATTTATTGAGAAATATGTTGCGAGCGTAACGTTTGTAAACCCAACCTATTCAATTATTTAAGGTGTGCATGTGTTTTCAACATTTGGCCGTAAATATTGGCCTGTTGCCTCAAAGCTTCACGCAAACAGCTGGCATTTGTGCGTTCTATTAATAGACTAAGCTACGTAAACTAAATCATTACATCGTTAGCTCTTCGTTAGTGTCTGATTTACCTGCTGTTGCTGCTGCTTTATTTACCAAGGCCTTTTTTTCATCACTGATCCCAGCTGACGTTGCCTCTCTTGCAAGACAACGCACACGGTCATTACTTACAAAAAAATATTCTCAGTCGAGGTGTGAGAAAAAAGCACAGTAATTCACGGAATAAGTGAAGGCCGTGCGGTGCCGCCTGTATTTTCGGCACACACCTTACGGCATTGTTGAAAAGAAAATGACGGACGCGCCCCATCCAAAATGTGTCTCTCTACATTCACGGCCCAAGGTATCATGGACTGTATTCAAATTCACCCCTGCCACGAACGTCGTGAGCCTCCTCTACAGAATGGCAGCCCCAGCGACCGCGCGCGGGGCCGATGGGCTCTGTGCCGCCGGTTTCAAACGGTGCCCTGAGTGGCCATGGTCGAAGGAAGACGCAAGGCAAGGCTGCCGGGGTGGGCCGCTCAGCGGGGAGAATGCCGAGCTGTAGCCGGTACCGCTGAGGACATGGGTTCGATTCTAGGTTAAACCGGGTCCTCCAGTTTAGTGAGTTGATGGTCTCAGTCCAGTCGCCAAGAACTACGCAAAAGAAAAACATCTGAGCCCCATCTCCAATGATGGCACACAAAAAAAATCACCATTAGCTTTGCTTTACTTTTGCTTTAAATATCTACATTTCAGCTGTTTGAGAATAAAAATGTTCAGTTTATCTGTCACATGAATACAAAATTTTCGTAGGGGGCCATGTAGGAAACCGCACGGCCCTGGTGTCTGGATGTGAAAAACAATCACTTTAATGGATTTCAGAAGCAACTCTGTATCACCTTTCGCAGACCGTTCTCTTAGCACAAGATCTGCCACATTGACTGCCGCACTTCAGATCAGAGGTAGAGCGCACGGCGCCACGTCCGTTTCGTGCCACGCAGTGCTTACAGGAAGCTGGCTATACGAAGCCAATATCAGTCGTTGCGTGTCGGTACACTTCAGACCTGTGATGACCGCGCACTGGACTGAGGCTGGTCACACACGGTTTCACAGGTGAATTGTCAGTTCGTTATTTTTGTATTTGCAGGAGCGGATTTAACCCCGCTGCATTGTTCTTGGGTCGATTCTTTGTTTCGGTAATGACCCAGAATAGCCACCGATTGTGTTTTTTTTTGCTGCATCTTTCTGTAAGTTTTCAGGTTTTTAGTGTGAATTTGGGCAGGTGTTGGTGGTGCGTGCCTGTAGCGGTGTCGTGAAGGGGAGGGTGGGATCGTTGTGTTGCAGAGAGACGGTGCTGACATACACCCGTAGGGGGGCTAGAACATCAAACTAAACACAGGTGCAAGAAAATCTGAATGATATATTTCCTGAGTAAGGCCCAACGATCCCTCGCTTTAGCCTCAACGTTGCTGGGACAAGGGCAGTTAATGGGCACTTTTTTTCTCCTTTTTTCTTTTAATTCTTAACAAGAGCCCGGTACGAAGCTCGTTCGATAGAAAAAAGGGGAAAGGGAGCACGAAAATTCCTCGGATGGAAGCCCGAAACGCCATGGTGCTCACGAGTTGTGGGAAAGGGGGGAGGGGGAGGAATGGGCTCCCGCTACCCCACTTAGCGTAGGGACTACGAGCGGGAGTGGAGCACCTTTGAAAGGCCTCACGGCACACGAGGCGATTCTTGAGGCCAGCACCATTTCCAATCACCTTTTGTCTCTTTATCAGTACTGCTAAGAACGTTGGCACCGGGTACTCATTTACTGCTGGGCAGGCCTAGGCGCGAGGCCCAGGACCGGTTCAGAAACTACGGTCCACGGGTCTTATCCATGGGCCGCACCTCCGACTAGCACGGTTGGCTACGTACGGTGCGAAAGAAGTTCAACATGCATGCGTTGCATACTTACGCATCTTTTGACGGAAATCGGCGTGCATTCACATTCACTCGCTAAACGTGAAAAAAAAAAAAACCCTTCCGGTAGGATTTCTGAAGTGTGCGTTTGTCAACGTGCACCCGAGCAAACGCCGAAACGTGCGCACACGTGACGAGCCGCCGCCGCCACCGCCGTTACCGCCCGTGACGTCGATGCCTTCCTCCCCCTCCCCGTGCAGCAGCTGGACGTGCCACAGGCGCTGGGCGTCCTGCGGGGCCAGCGGATGCTCATGGTGCAGACGCTCGCGCAGTACCAGTTCGTCTACCAGGCGCTCATCCAGTTCCTCAACAACTCGAGGCTCATCTGACGACGGGCCACCGCCGGGGAGCGACCGGCACCAGGTCGCCAGGGGCCCCCCAAACCTCGTCGAGAGGCCGAAGTTGTCCTTCGCAGGGGTTCCTGGCCGCGGCCAAAATGTCTTCTCTGCGCCTTGGGTGCTCGCCGCTTCCTCGGGGTTCTGCCGCAGAGGAGCGGCGTCACTTGGGATGAACTTCCCCGGCGCTTCTCATTCGGAGGAGCGAATTGAAAAGGAAACTGAAACTTGTTCCCGTGCCGATCTGCCCTCTTGGTGCTTTACGCTCGACAATGTATGTTTGCCGCCCAGCATTGCAGTAAAGTTGTTTTGAGAACTTGAGCTTTTACAATCCTGAGAACGGGGTGCTTCCGTGAATGAAATTTTTTTGTATTCTGTATCTAAGCATCGCAATGAAACGCGAGGAAACCTATCCCGAGGATGATACTTCTCGCCAAATGAAGCTTTGGCTGCTGCAGCATCAGCCTCCGGAGCGGTTGTGGGGCGACATCTTTTGTAATCGGAAGTTTTTAGCTCTCTCGTTAAACCGGCTCTTTTATGCGTGGTCTTTTTTTTATATAAGCAAAAGAAAAAGTCTTCCCATGAACTGGCTTTTGTAGAGTCTCTTTTTCGATGAATTGTATTGATATTTCTTAGTCCCCCGTGAGTTCCGATTGGTTGTTTTTTTTTTAGGCCACTTACATCTACTTTAGCGAACGAGTGTCGAGTTCAGTGTTTGTTTCTGCCGACGCTTGGAAGCAGTTCCATGTCTTGGCTCAGTCCTGGCCCAGAGCTTCTAAATGATTGATGCTTCTTCAGTCATTCCCACGGCCCACACGCATAGGCCAGCAACTCTTTCTTCGACATTCAGCTGCTAATTAAAGATGGTTTAAACGTGTAGGTTCCTATTTGCTGCCGTGCTGCGTTTGTGTCTCCGATAATTTACGTGACCTGCCATAGCAGTCAAGGGCGGTTGGTCGGTCGATGCATTTGTTAGACACATATGAAATGCCCTGTATACATTTAGCAGTATTATTTACACGTCTTCTCGCCTGCCTGTGCATTTACCGTAAGGCAGCTAAATATTTACACTCGTGTAAGTTTTTTTTTTCTTTCGTATTGTTTTTCGTCGGGAGTCTGACGGAACCTTTTTGCCACAAAACTCGTACAAATCCGAGTCCGCCGCTAACAACGACCTTGATAAACATTGGCTTGAATTCGATTGCAATGTGAACTGCGTGTATTGAACTTCTAACATGAAGTTCCATGGGGCGGTTTCATTGGGGCACCATGGTGGCGAGATGTTAACCACCCCACCGAGTATACAGGAGGTCGTGGGTTCAATCCTGACCCTGATGCCTGTATATTTGGACTTTGCATGTTCTCCCCGTGGTCACGTGGATTTTTTTCTCTGGGTCCTCTTGTTTTTATTTTTCCCCCCTCCACATTGAGAATTAACGTGCGTCCAGAGTATTTGTCGACTACAAATTTCCACATATGCCACTTCGTTGAGCTATCACTTGTGGCCAGATCTCTTCTGAAAAATAGCTGGTACAGCTCTGTGGGCCTTACCTGGTAAATAAAATGTTTTTATATATATAGTTTAGTTGAATAGTTTTAAAATGCCCTGGCCAGTTGCTGTCATTGCTCCCCCGCGGATTGGGAATGGTGGCAACTTTTGACGGCGTAAAAGCCGCGGGACCCTCTCAGCTTTAAAGCAGGTGGTTCTTAACCTGGGGATGCACGCTGCACCCCTTGGGGGTGCGAGATGCCCTTTCTGAGGGTGCGAGGCATGGCAGATTTATTTAGAAGGCAAATAAATCGAAACGCAAATCAAGCACGGGCACGCAAGTGCAACTACTTTGTATCATCAAACCTTCTATGTATTTATTAACGCAACATTTGTTGTACGACTGAGAACTAACGGGGTGCAAAGCTGCAGTAAAGGTTAAGAATCGCTGCTTTAAAGGGATCGCAGGGCGTTGTTGCCGTCGTTTTGTACGGGAAGTCTTCCACTTGCGCTGCCCCCGTTTCCGTCGTTTCACCGTAACATCGCCGACGAATTGAGGGAACGCAATTCGATTCACGGCAGCGTTTGTTTTAAACGCTTGAAACGCGAAAAGGGGAGCGAGCAGTAGCATCCTGGGCGGTGTACGCGACGACGCGCTACGCCACGGCGCTCCCAACGAGGGCGCCCCCAAGCCTCAAGTGTTTACAACATCGCCATACTGTGACGTGCATGCGTTGGGCTTATTTCGCACCGTACGTACGTATGCCGTGTTGAACTTTCCGCACCGTGCGTAGCCAACTGTGCTCATCGGAGGTGCGGGGGAAGGGCAACAAACTTGGACACAAGAAGCAGTTCTAAAATAAATTAGTTTTTCAATCTGGATCTGAAAGTGCATAGCTCCAGTGGTTCTACTACTCTATCTCTCTAAATGCAATCTCCGCCGCCATCTCTAAAATTACGTATTTGAACTTTTTAGGGGGGTATCTTTTGCTATCTTTTTGATACTTAATATTTTTCTGAAAATTCTGAACCAAAACATTACCCCCCCCCCCCAAAGGAACGTATCGTAAATGTGTATACACATTAAGTCAATGGTAAGTTCAGTTTAGATTTGCGATGTGTACCAGGGACACATTCCCCAACGTAAATGGAGGACTTACTGTCTTAAGTAAGAAACACAGCTTACACGATTCATCAGTAGAGCTTAGTCTCCCTTTTGTCAATCATCGTCGGGAGAACAAATTTGTATTTTAAGTGTTTGTGTATATTGTACAGCATATATATTTTAAAATGTTCAAAACAATTACCAAAGCTTTGTGGGACCACAAATGTCCATGTACTCATACTATGTACCTCAGTGATGCATCCATCAATCCACTTAGCACTTATTCTCTGAGATTAATAAAGTGTGCTATAATTGCCAATGCTATTGCCATAGACAAAAAAATGTTAAACAAAAATGAATATATGTATTGTAATGATGAAAAAAGCTGGAGACAATTTTACAAATATTTATCATTGGGCATAGCAGGTCGGTTACCTGCAAAATGCAGTGCTGTTGGGAACCAAAAGAGGTTTTACCTTTTGAATTAATTTCAAGGTAATCATCTCTGAACTAGTATCCTGGCCATGTTTAAATCAAGTGCAGTAATGGTGGTATGTCTTTAGTGTTAGATATGACTTCACTAAGAAGTCATCTTTAAGGTTAACATTTTAAATTTTAGAACAAGGCCATTTTTTTTTAAACATTGACATCAGATAATCATACAGACCCACAGTTTTATATTGGGGTTTGAACTAAGCGATGAATTGACACGATTCAAGGACAATTCATCATTGAATGCAAGAACTGAATCCTAACGTGTGGTGAATGGTGGTAGCGCCTCTTATGGCTGCACGGGTGACTTGAACCCATTGCATACCACGTGTACAATTGTAAATATTTAACATTTTCTGAGCATTAAATGTGCCTATCACAAGATGGACAATGAATCGATGCATTATTGTCCGACCCTTGCTGGGTGCAATATAGCTTACAGCTATTAGAACGCTGCCTAAAAAAATAAAAAAATAAACTATAATTGCGCAATTAACAAGGCATGAATTGTTACTACCCATGACACCATGCATAAAGTTGTTGGGAAATATGTTACGAGTATTAATTTTGTAAACCCAGTCTATTCAATTATTTAATGCGCTTGGTGTTATCAACATTTCGCCTGTCGCCGCAGACAGCCGGCAGTTGTGAATTATATTAATAGAGCGACACAAGCAACATCATTACGTGATGACCTCTTGCTTCGTGTCCGATGTTACTTACTCCCTTCATCTACCAAGGACTTTATCGCTTTTGTTTTTGGTTTTTAGGGCAGCTTTCACGTCCTTTGCCCGTTGGACGACAAAACGAACGCGACATTCGCAACGCCAAAATGTTCAGACAAACAACCAACAATGAAGTCAAGGAAGGAGCTATTAATTGGTTGGCGCACCGGCTCGTAAAGGCACAGACAATCGATGACTAATGAGGGCTCGCTCAAGTACAATCCGCACCTCTGTCCAAACACTCAAAACGTGCGGCGCAACCCCCCCACTACCCCCCCCCCCCACCCATCTCCTTAAATAGCCGTCAGCTGAAGAGGCGGTGGGGAAATGACAGATTTTTTTTAAAAACAAGTCGGCAGGAATGAGCAGCGAGCGACGCCGGGGTTACTAGCAAAGAGCAGAGCGAGAGAGAGCGGCAGTTGCGTAAAATTTGACTCGCAGCAAAGAGAGGAACGCCCCGGCGAACGTGGGTTTCAAATCGGTCGTGCTGCGCAGACTTCCAATGAGTCTCCAGGGGCGCTGTCACGGCGCGATGTCCGACGTTTCGCTGCGCGTGCTGGGGAGATGTTTTTTTTTTTAAAGAACCGACGTTGTGCCGGGACGACACGCGGTAACATCCCCCCCCCCCCCCCCCCCCACGGATAACCGGCATCCCCCAGAGAGCTGGGACACAATTGGATATCGCCATCACAGATGGTCCCGTCGGCTCCGGTCCGTAGATTTAATCTCGCGGTAACCAATCCACGTGCACGCGGTAACCAATCCACGTACACGCTGTGCCAATCCACGTGCACGCGGTAACCAATCCACGTGCACGCTGTGCCAATCCACGTGAACGCGGTAACCAATCCACGTGCACGCGGTAACCAATCCACGTGCACGCTGTGCCAGTCCACTTGGCACGCTCTGCCAATCCACGTGCACGCTGTGCCAATCCACATGATCGCGGTGTCAGGCAAGGGCTCACGCACGGGCGGCAAGCCGCGTGGTGTTTCCCTTCGGCGTCCGCCTAACTGCCCGGCCGTGTCGAGGAATGTTTCACGTTCTAGTGGTAGGGCGGGCGAGGGAGCTAGCAGCTGTTGGCGTTGCTTACCCGGAGCCAACAGAGCAGCATTGATAACTGCCTTGGACAAAAAAATGTTACATCTCCTCCATTAGCCACAGCCAATAACCACTCCCCCCCCCCCCCGTGTGGGCTCCTTTGTATTTTTAAGAAACAAAATGCCATTCATAAACGATTGTATTTAATTGTGCATAGTAATATTAAATCGCAGTAAAAAAAACACATGAACACCCTTTGGTATGATACAATGTTGTTGTTTTTTTAACGTTAAAAGAGATACGCTGTGCTTTGTTCGTTTGCAGTATAAAATAATCAAAAATCGAACAGCGTGTAGAGCGTTAGCCGTAATCGTTTATAATTTGTGCAAATCTCCTCTAAGCTATGCATGTTTCGCTTTCACCTATTTATTACGATATCGTCGTGGGCTTCTTGGTGGGTTCCAAACAAATATTGTTATTATTCTTTTGTTTCTTCCAACCTTTTATTTGTAACCAAAAAATAAATAAACTGTGAGGTCACTTGACAGTATTTTTTTTGTAATCGTTCAGTAGACCTACCCGCGCTTGTGCAATTTAGCTAAGCTTTAAAAAAACCCACACAAACCCCCTCCCTCCTTCTCCCCTCCCTTTGGAACCCCTCCCCCCCCCCTCCGTGTTCCGTATTTCACTATGTTATTTCACTTTGTTTCGTGTGTACAGACTTTTTTATATATATGTCATTCGTATATGCAGAATAACCGCGGTGGAGTGGGGGGGGTGTACATAGTCCTTCATAAAAGACACAAGTAAATGAAATGTTTTGTGTATTGAATCTTTACAAAGTAATAAAATGTCCTTATTGAATGTATAACTATCACGTGTGTAAGGTGTGTGCTTGCGTCTTGCTTGGCCATGACACTTTTCTCTGCTGGCTGGCTGGCTGGAGGGAGGGACCGACAGTCGCGTCCAAAGGACGTGCAGACTGTCGGTAAGGATGATGTAAAGTTTACAGGCCTTTGTTAGATCACTGCCGAAGGTCTTACCTCGCGCCCGTGGGGTTATTTGACCAGCCTTCACCACGCTGATCGGTGCAGGTTTGAAGGGGTTCAGATAGCACGGCGCACAAACCACAGCGCCACCGGTCTTCCCAATCTGCGTACATACGTCTAGTGAGCGCATGTATGTATATAGGCAGATTGTAACGGTTAAGAAACTGTATATGGAAAAAAAGAAGTACATGGTTCAGAGACCACAGACATGTAGAGACATTTAATGCTGTGAAAAGTGGGCTTGAATATAACACGTCGCAATAAAACTAAAAACTAAACAACTTTTTTTTACTTAAACTTTATTTTACCGGGTAAGGCCCACTGAGCTTATAGCTATTTTTCAGAAGCCACCTGGCCACAAATCATAGCTCAACGAAGTGGCTTATCGTGTGGAAATTGATAGCAGTCAAATACTCTAAACGCATGTTTCTAAATATTGAGGGAAAACCCAGAAGACCCGGAGAAAAATCCACACGGTCACGGGGAGAGACATGCAAATCTCCAAATATACAGCAGGCGTCACGGTCGGGATCGAACCCACGAGCTCTTGTATACCAGGCGAGGTAGTTAACATCTCGCCACCACGAAGAGATGTTGATCGGTAGTCAAGACTAACAAAGGAGTGGCAGCCAAAGGAGGGAAAGGAACACGTCCTGTATACCAGGCAAGGAAGTTAACATCTCGCCACCACGAAGAGATGTTGATCGGTAGTCAAGACTAACAAAGGAGTGGCAGCCAAAGGAGGGAAAGGAACACGCCCGAGAGGACGTCGATCGTCGCCAGGCAGTGATAAAGTCAACTCGTGGCCATGCGCGAGTCGCATTGTTGTGTTGCCGAACTGTGGCGATGTCTTGGAGAGGCCTTCATCCGGCAGCGGACAGATCTCGGTAGATGACGAGCGTGCGTCAATCAATGTGCGTTAGAGACGAGAGGAAACTCATAGTATTGTTACTTTATACATCGGCGTTATTATCTCACGAGAGGAAACGTTCCGCACGGCTTCTAATTCATTAAATCATTTTCTCTCGATGTATGGAATGAATGGTCTCAGCCGGGAAATCGAAAACAAATAATCGTATCGTTCAATGTATTTGCGCTTAAATTCCAGCTCTGGCGATGTAGAGGATTGCGTTGACTGCCACGTGACAGTCTAATCGCAGAGTGCACGCGAATGTACGCCCAGTACTGTGTAAGAGAGGATTTGCCCCCCCCCCCCCCTTGAAGGAGATTGTTTGGGGAGACGTTCAGTGAAAGTCAAACCTCTTGCACGGGTCAACGTTCCGACAACGATGAGGCGAGCGGGTCTGTGAGATTCGATCTCATGTCGCCGCCGATAGCACGGTTGGAATTCATTGTCGAAGAGAAACGAGAGAAAAAATAGCCAAATCAGTTTACCTGGAATTTAAAAGTAATACCGGATTATGTATTCAAGAACGCTGGGTCAGCTATTACAGCACCCCCAACTTGTTTCAGGTGTCAATTATCCAAATCTGTTCTCACGCACACAGCTACCCAATTGTGAGACGCGCCCCCAACTTTTGCTTTAAAATAGAGGTAATAATGTCTCCATAGCGGGTAATAGGTAATGGTGTCTCAATGGTAGGGAAAAATTGCAGATTGAAGATAAGATCGAGATCTCTGTGCGTCTATCACGCCACGCAGACGCCGGCTAATTGCTGAGCGCGTCACGTGGGTCGTGTTTAACAATCATCGGGCGCGGCCTCAAATGAGCGCCTGGTGCGGTGTGCAAACATCGCGACTGGGGAGACAAATGCGGCCGGGCGTGGTTGCTGGCCAATCACCCCCTCGTGTGCCGTGCCGGCCTTCATAGGTGCAGGTTAAAAGCACTTACTGCTTGGTATAATATTAGTCGTGAAAGCCAATAGGGCGATGGACTCAACAATATGTGTAATGTGGAGACGCGGAATAGACTGGTTCATATTTTGTCATACACATCCATGGGCGGGTATGGTGTAAAAAGTTCAGTCTCCAACGCTTATCCATTCAATCTCTCCAGCGCCCCTTAATTTACGCGCTATGAAGAAGGGCCATTTCCCGAAACGTCGCCTGTTATATTCGTTTCATATGAAGGCCCACGGTGTAATTGACGATTATGTTTGAGCTAGTTTTTGTTTGTTTGTTTGCTAATTGCGCTTGTGGCGCGCCACTGCCAAACGCATCCGCTGCAGCAGCATTTACCAACTACCGCAGTGTGCAGTTACGGGGGAGGTATGGTCCACAGACCGCTTGGCGGCGGTATAGTCGTGCGTGCGTGTGAATGAAACGGGGCCGTACTGCAACACCGGCGAGCGCGCGCGCGCGCGCACGAGAGAGAGAGAGAGATCGAGAGATAGAGATGTCAATTTACCCGGGCAGCCACCGGCCGGACACACCGTGGCGGCAGAGTCGCCCGGAGGGAGCTCTGTCGTGGGGGGGGGCGCGTGAGACGTAATCTTGCGAAAGCTACCGATGCAGATTTTTTTGCGGATTGTTACTCCCCGCCAGGTCTGTAGCCCTCGCTGCTCAAGCCAGCCTCGTCCCGTGTTCACGCGGCCACGTGGCTTAAAGTTGTTGTTGTTGTTTGTTTGTTCTCCAAGCGGCCAAGGGCAGAAAAGCGAAAAGATGTCACTTGGCGAGAGAACATTGACGTTGGGGGGAGCGGGGTGGGGGGCTTTAGTGGGCGGGGGGGGGGGGCGTGGTTTTGGGACGCCTCGTGACGTTCTGAAGGTTATTGGCCCGAGGGCACTGCGGGGCTGTTGGAGATGGGGGATGGAGGGGTTTGTGGGGGGGGGGTGGAAGGGAGAGGGAGGGAGGGGATGGAGTGAAGGGGAGGGACTTGGAGAGGGCAGAGTGCCCACTGCGGGGCTGTTGGGGATGGGGGATGGAGGGGCTTGTGGAGGGAGGGGGGGGTGGAAGGGAGAGGGAGGGAGGGGATGGAGTGAAGGGGAGGGACTTGGAGAGGGCAGAGTGCCCACTGCGGGGCTGTTGGGGATGGGGGATGGAGGGGCTTGTGGAGGGAGGGGGGGTGGAAGGGAGAGGGAGGGAGGGGATGGAGTGAAGGGGAGTGGACTTGGAGAGGGCAGAGTGCCCACTGCGGGGCTGTTGGGGATGGGGGATGGAGGGGCTTGTGGGGAGGGAGGGGGGGTGGAAGGGAGAGGGAGGGAGGGGATGGAGTGAAGGGGAGGGACTTGGAGAGGGCAGAGTGCCCACTGCGGGGCTGTTGGGGATGGGGGATGGAGGGGCTTGTGGGGAGGGAGGGGGGGTGGAAGGGAGAGGGAGGGAGGGGATGGAGTGAAGGGGAGGGACTTGGAGAGGGCAGAGTGCCCACTGCGGGGCTGTTGGGGATGGGGGATGGAGGGGCTTGTGGAGGGGGGGGGGGGGGGGGTGGAAGGGAGAGGGAGGGAGGGGATGGAGTGAAGGGGAGGGACTTGGAGAGGGCAGAGTGCCCACTGCGGGGCTGTTGGGGATGGGGGATGGAGGGGCTTGTGGAGGGGGGGGGGGGGGGTGGAAGGGAGAGGGAGGGAGGGGATGGAGTGAAGGGGAGGGACTTGGAGAGGGCAGAGTGCCCACTGCGGGGCTGTTGGGGATGGGGGATGGAGGGGCTTGTGGAGGGGGGGGGGGGGGTGGAAGGGAGAGGGAGGGAGGGGATGGAGTGAAGGGGAGGGACTTGGAGAGGGCAGAGTGCCCACTGCGGGGCTGTTGGGGATGGGGGATGGAGGGGCTTGTGGAGGGGGGGGGGGGGGGGGGTGGAAGGGAGAGGGAGGGAGGGGATGGAGTGACGGGGAGGGACTTGGAGAGGGCAGAGTGCCCGACCATTGTGCAGCTGTCACTGACGGAGAGAACTGGGAATGATAAAAGCCGAAGGCTGATGCTGTGGAGGGGAGGCATGCCGTGACCGGCTAATACGACGAGTCACCACCCCAAAGGGTTACCCCATGCTCCCAAGTCCATACACCTCCCCACGCTCGGGGGAGGCCTTCATCCAGCAGTTGATTGAACATGAATGATGAGGGTTCATACCTTTTCCGCTGCATCATTTTGCATGTCGGTTAATAAGTATGAGGCCAACACACAAAATCGTGTGTTTTGATATATAGATGCTATATACACAAGGTTGTTGGGGTGGAGCCGTGGCGTCGTGGTTAGCACACCGTGCGATGAACCCGGCTCTTACCCGCGTTCGATGCCCGGCCAGTGGTGACTGCTATCTCAACCTGTCCTGCCCCCCCCCCCACCTTCTCCATCCCCCCCCCCCCCCTCATCACCAACCTGCTCCCTCAACTGCCTGCAGGGAACGGGGAGGCTCAATGTTATTCGAAATATTTTCATATTTTGGGTCGTTTGTGCATTCCAAAGGCATTTGTAGACAACTCATATGTGTTTTTTTTTATTAATTACCTGAACATACTGCATACAATATTTGATGTATGCCAAACAATATTTACAGACTGCTTGAATTACACGCAACCCATAGGATGTCTCCGTTAACCAAATGTGAGTTACTCCGCCGGATGTGTGAGGACATTAACGAGCTGATTTTTAAACTATTTAAGTGTGCTCAGCACTGAACCTGGATACATCATAGGTTGATGGTCCAAATATATTTGTTTCAACGTGAAGACATAACAGTTCTGCTTGTACATGTATTTACACAAATTGCATCATAAACAACAGTGTCCTTGTTATTGGTTCTTTCGGTAAAGTCACGTTGAAGGGAAACAATAAAATAATAAAGTATGTAAAAACAATAAAATTTTCACGACGTTTCGACTGCAACACAAGCAGTCATCATCAGGTGATGATGATGACTGCTTGTGTTGCAGTC